CGCTTCATATGATTATTGCATTGTCCCATATGCAATGGGCCGATGAAGGGTCAACAGTCGGGAGCTTGCGATATAAACAAGTATTTACTGTACACAGGTAGACATATAAAGAAGAACCGTTGCCTGGTCAGTACATAAATAATACCAGTGGCGGTGTTGGTGCCCCGGAGCACTTAAGGCTTATACCAGGGTCACCTGACACGAATTAAGTCATAAGCAACAACAGTAATTAATACTCAGCTAATTCTGGATTGTTGGCAGTATATGTACAACATAAATATGATGGAGATTAACAATGGGGATCAACGCTTTATCAATGATAGAAATTACGTGTTTGTTTGTTTTATTGTTGTTTAACGCAACAGTCAATTTTCCAACTTATGACCGTGGTGTGTAAATAATCGAGTCAAACCAGTGATTGACATCATGAGCATCAATCTACGCAATTTGGATACAATAGCATGCAATTAAGTGATAGTAGACATGTGATGTCTACATGGTCACTAGCCTTTGAACTTCGTTCGTTCCAATAAAGATTATATTGAATCGGTCGCTGTTACGGCATTTGCGCGGGTCCATGCTCATGATGTCGATCACTCACTTGTTTGGTCCAGAGTGGATTATTTACAACTCCCAGCGAGCTTGAATTTTGCAGAGTTTGGTGGTTGGCAAAACACCAGCAAAGTCGCTCCTGGGAACATCACTGAGAGAGTTTAGTTTTACGCTGCTTTTAGCAATATTTCAGCAATATCACGGTGGGGGACACGAGAAATGGGCTTCACACATTGTGCCCATGTGGAGAATTGAACAGGTGGGACAAGCGAAAGCTTTGACCTCTAGCCTACCCCACCAACCCCAATGCGGGCTGGACAGTTGAATCACTGAATATACCCAGGATATATTCGAGCACACCCCACACACACACCAAATGAATAAATAAATAAAATTATGCTGTAGATTTGCCTCCCAGTTGCGGGTCATGGTCAATAAGGGGCGGAGGGGTAGCCTAGTGGTTAAAGCGTCCGCTCGTCACGCCGAGGACCCAGGTTCGATTCCCTGCATGGATACATTGTGTGAAGCCCAATTCTATTGTCCCCTGCCACGATATTGCTGGAATGTTGCTAAAAGCGGCGTATACCCATAGTCAATCACTACAATCAATCATGGGCAATAAACGTGTTACAACACCATCGTCGGTTTACACTGTATGTGATGAGAACCGTCAAATACTGTGTTAATATAGAATTCACACCTTCCGGGTTCAACGACATCCTGAAACTACCACGTGAGATCTACCGACGTAGTAACCAATATTGTATACTGAGCTGCGCTGACTGATCTCTTGTTCTCGAAAGTAGAACACGTGTGGTTGTTACAGTGACGAGAACAAGTCTTATTTGTCCAACACAGCTGTGTTCGAGAAGAAATTTATTAAAATGAGAAACACTTGGAACTCGACAGACATAACGGACAGCAACCACTCAATGGGTTAAAAGAGGGCTTATATTTTCACCCGATAGGGAAGAATGACTGACGTACGGTGATATACATTTCAGGATATAAGGGTCATATTTACCCGGGGCGCTGACCAAATGACACAGAGAAGGAGGTTTTGGTGCGAGGGAAAGTTAAGCAGTTAGACAACAACCCCGAGACTCGCGTACCAGCTTTTGGATTCCGGCGGACAAACCTTCGGAGTGGCCAGTCTGGGAGATGGTAGGGTTGGGGGTGGTATGGTGGGTTGGGGGTGGTGTGGTGTGGTGTGGTGTGGTGACGTCTCGATTAAGGGTTTGGGAGAGAACTGTCCCGACGAATAACCATTAATGCGATACGTGAATGACGTGGAATGGTGTAGGTTTGGAGGCAGGAGATTAGCATGGCATCATCTGGCTGTGAAGAGCTTTTGTTGAGATTGGCAATCCCAACACGATGGGATTATATATGGCCTAGCGACAAATATCTATAGTTAATTAGGGCTGACTTGTTGTGACTGCTGCGGTTGTCTTGGAAACCAAACAGACAGGTGTTATGTTTCCGCGTTCTTGGCGCTCAGTGGGGGACATTCGGGAAACTGATTAAATAAGTACGTTGAGAGATGATCTGATCAAATTATCGTTAGGTTCTTATTCAAATTGTCCTCTAAGCATTGGCATTACACCGAATCCGCATCAAGAGATACACATATACAATCATTATGTTGTTTAATCAGCACATAAGATAAGCAGAATTTGAGTAGGCCAATATGTTGTTATTATCATTCATGACATGTTACTGGGAATATACCTCTATGTGGAATGAATTATTTGAAGTTTAAGTATGTATTGAAGTTTAACAAGCTTAACCTAACATTACGATTTAAGTAACATATTTGAAAAATCATTTTTTAAACGATATTTTGCTTTTCAATATATGACAATATATACACATGAAAAACATGGTTTACGCTTTGTTTTACATTGATAACTTCAATCCTGACTTTCCATCAAACCTTCTAATCAACAAGGGGCGGCGGGGTAGCCTAGTGGTTAAAGCGCTGGCTCGTCACGCCGAAGACCCGGGTTCGATTTTCCACATAGGTGCAAAGCCCATTTCTGGTGTACCCTGCCGTGATATTGCTGGAATATTGCTAAAGGCGACTTAAAACCACACTCTCACTGTAATCAACGATATCACTGTCACTTTGATTAACCAGAGGGAGAGAATGTTGCTTTACTACTGTTTTACTGTTAGTATCACAACCGTTACAATCCGGTTTGCACATGACCGTAACCAAAATACCTGACAACCGTTCCACGAAGTGATCCTAGCGAAGTGATCGCACGCCTGTGTTAAAGTAGGTCACCCTAGTGCTAAGATCGGTTTGTGGAACGGAGCCCAGGGACATCTTTATTCGTTCACTATGCCCTCATTGTTGTGTAACGCCATACTCAGTAATATGAGAACTGTGAGAGACATCCTGGACATGTTGAGAATCGAGTCTGGAAAGGACAATCCAGTGATTGACATCATGAATGGCTGACTGCAACATTCAGCCACAAGGAAATACCAGTCCCGATTTCTTGAAACAAACTTAATTTTTTGCTCAAATCTCAACTGAGTTTAATAATTTGAAACAGCTGAATTTTTAACTCAACTGCATTTGTAAAGTATAAAAGCCCAAACAACTTAAGTAATCTATCCACCAAACTCAAAATTGTCTACTATGGTTTGAGTTTAATACCGATTTCAGTTCATTCTGTGAAATGCATTTTCCTGCGTTTTCTCAAATTTGAGTGAAAACTCGAACGTAAGTCAAACTCAGACTTAAGTTTGTTTCGACTGCAACCACCTCGCCCTGCTAAATACCGTGTACCTGGACTAATTCAGCCTAAAATTTGGTGCCTCACTCTAGTTTGCCTCACCCCAAACAGTACTAGAGTCTGATCTATATACTGAGAAAGTGTAATCCCAAATACAATCTATCTTACATATGATCTCACATGATCACTTTCCAAATGGCATTGTGTATTTATAAAATTCCATCGTTGGGAATTACCATTGTCTGCAGGAACGTGATCTCAATGTACATCTGACCTTATTGGTGTTTAACGCCGCACTCAGCAGTATGACTGCAATTTGTGCAAGGACCAGACAATCCAGTGACTAACACCATGATCGGAGAAGACATGCATCAACCAAGTCAGCGAACCCCCTCAGTCCCCTCTTGCCGCAGTTACATTAATAACCCTAATCTTCACTGGGAACTTTGAAACAAACAAGATATCTGCCAGTATTATAATTGTAGACATATAAAGAAGAACCGTTGCCTGGTCAGTACATAATAATACCAGTGGCGGTGTTGGTGTCCCGGAGCACTTAAGGCTTATACCAGGGTCACCTGACACGCATAAGTCATAATCAACAACAGTAATTAATGCTCAGCTAATTCTGGATTGTTGGCAGTATATGTACAGCATGAAGATGATAGAGATTAACAATGGGTATCAACGCTTTATCAATGATAGAAATTACGTCACATGTAAAGAAGCAAACACGGGTTTTGCTTTCAAAAATTGGATTTGTTTTAGTTTAACATTGGCGAAATCTCACAGTGACATATCTCGTAAATGTTTATAACTTTCTGAAACCCACGGGACGAATGTTGGCTCCGAGTGGAAGTTCAGCGAAAAAACTATGCGTAATGCCTACTGGGCCACCTGTTGCCCGGTTAAGAAGAACAGATGAATCACGACTCAGTGACATATCTTTGTTAAAAGACACGCCACTAACTTCGTGCTAAACAGAAGCATTGCGAACAGCATTCATTAATGCTGTGGCAGGTCTAAAGTACCAACTGATATACATACCTAAATATTACCCTCCCGGGAACGGAATGTCATCGATCGGGCTTAAGCTAATCCTTTGTTCTTATCAAGACATTTCATTGTGAACACAGGTCGGATCTGAATTCAGGGTTATTGACAGTTGTCTTCTCATCCTAACGTAATATCTAATAAGTTAAACCTGTCTGCAAATAACGTTACTGTTGTAACATATCCGATACAGCGTTACACACACAGACATATGTATATCATGTAAGTCTCACATGGATCGTGGATTTTAAAACAGATATCTATAATACGACGAATTATTATAGATTTGAGATTCCCTGTCTGATCAAAAATTATTTTAAGGTTATTACATAGGCGTTATTAATCCGAAAATTTGAGAGAGGTATAATTACTTACAAATAAGCTCCTCCCAACCCATCAACTTGCTCAGTCACTTAATCTAATATGTTTAAAGTTACACCTTTGTTTTCCATGTAATTTATTTAAAAGAAGTATCTGCTAAAGTTGAAGGAAGTAATATCCTATCAAACATACATGTCAATACAATTACACTTCAGAAACATTAGTTCCGTCACCATAACAACGCCACGACGCAACCCATTGCGTTAATCAGAACGACAAATCAATACTGTAGACATTTTCAAACGTGACGAATTGTCGTCTGCCTACCTGATTAAATGGTCTCACGCGCACTGCCACCTTGACACTGTCGCCACCACCACCCGGCATTTCTTCTAGAATCCTGTATATCCAAATTCAACTATCTGCTTTTCCAATATACACAATTGCGGAGCAGACGACACGTTCTCTCTGCTTTGATTTACGCTAACTGAACATTTTGCCTGATATCTCGGGGTCGTGACCTCCGACAACGAGTTGATAAGCCAATCAGTGCTCGCTCTTTTATGACGTAACCAGTCAGGATGGTTTGTGCTATAAATAGACTGCCATGTGCGTTCCGTTAACGTGTTTATTTGTTTACAGTCATTTCTAACAACTTAAGGAATGGTTTATTTCGCAAGACCGGGTGTTTGTTAAACGTATTGACGTTAGTATAAAAATATAAATCATTCAATGCGAGTAAGAGGATTGTTTAGCTTGATCGCACAATTGCTTAAGTAATACATCTTATTAGAAATAATCCTGATTATAACGGAACAATAGACGATCATCGAGAATTATACTCTCACAAATGTACAAATCCGAGCATGATCTCTGATCCAGTAGTTACACGTTCGTAAAAAGCCGTCAATCGTGCTCAACCCTTAACCTGTAGTTGACGCACATACAATTTCATTCTGTAAACGGATACCGTGAATCGGCGCCTTATTACAATTTGAGAGAAAATGTTCATATCGTCGCGCTATGTAAACACAACCGCCGCATAATTTAGAACATATCAATATAACGTGCTTTGAAGTTTATATTCTCCAATGCCACAATACCGACTACAAACTGCGTATATCACCACAGCGTAGATGTCAAACACTCATTAATAGTTTTACAGCTCCGGCGTAACGGGTCACGTGACATGTTCGAGTAGGGGCACGTCAGGATGTTCTCTGTGTCGAGGTATTGTATACGTCAAAAGTTAACGTGCCTCCAAGATCAGTCAATTTCATGCTTAGTGCAAATATTTAATGTTCACTTAAAAGTACCCCTGCCCCTTAACCAGCGTATGTAGCGATTTATGATAAGTGTAAATATCTTCATTTGCGTGCCTTGGTAGATTTGTAGTGCCGATAACGGACTAATAGGTAACACCTTTGAATACAGGCCATAACACGTGGCGTGTGTAAATGTTTCAAAGTCGCCGCTTTCTACTGGTCCCGTAATGTACCTGTAATGTGTTTTACTGTACATACAACGCTGATATTACGCGCGGTTATGTGTGAAGTTCAAACCAAACTACCTGTCTGTCTCTACTTTCTTCAGTTTTGTTTCTTGTTTAACGCCGCACTCAGCAATATTCCAGCTATATGACGGCGATAGGTTATGAATCGACTCTGGAACAGACAATCCGGTGATTGGCATCACAAGCATCATCATCATCATCAAGGGTGACCTCATTGACCCGGCATGCATGGACTGCTGAAGGCCAGTCCTTCTCAGACCCTCCTTTCGTAAACATGTTGTTATATTGATGTTAATAGTTACGCAAAATCGGAGAAATATCGCACATCGCTGACAAAAAATGAAGAGAACTAATTTATCGAGGGATTTATATTTGCTACTCAAAATAGTTTCAAGAACAATTTTTAACACGACTATAGTTAATCTGGCATGGATAGAACTATAATAGTGGAAAGTGTTCATGTACAGAGTAACATTCAGTGAATACGAATATATCGTGTTTTCGATGATATAGACAAATCCGATCATCTCCAGTGTCACGATTCGATAAATATGCCTTTAAGTTCACTAAGCATGATTGCATCGACACAATGTTTACTTGATCAGTAAATTATCGACTAATACTCTTAATAGGTTAAGGTAGGGGTTTCCCCGTGCGTGGGTGTTTATGTTGACAACCATGTCTGTAAATATTTTGGCGCTCCATGACAAATGAAAAGAAATATTTGTTCACTTCCAAGTCATTAAGAGAAAGTTGTTACACTACATTAGTGGTGCACCAAGTAGTACAACCATTTATGTATGAAAGACGAACTAGAGCTTCAGTCAGTAGTTACTGAAATCCTATTAAGAGTACACATGCAATTTCTCATTATTTTAATCGGAAATTAAAATACCCATGAGACAATAATAGCCAATTTTATACGAGTTAGTTACTATTAACCAGTACTTTAACATAGTATTAACACTCCTCCTATATCATGCAAATCCCAAGAGCTAGAATATAGCCAAAAAACTAAGAACTGATTCTCTCACTTTACAGATACGGTTTTCATGAGGGTAAAAAAGCTAACAGAAAGTGCCGTTCAGTCTGGCTGTTTTCTTATTTGGTGGTTAGTTTATTTGAGAACCCTAGAGTTGCAGGGAACCCACAAGTCTCTTAATTTTTAAGAGTTGAGGATGGGATGAGTATAGTGTCCTAGAGTGGAAATGGGATGAAAATGAAATGAGTTACAGGTGTTTAAAAAGAGAATTCGGGTTATCTTACGAACCAAGTTATCTTTATATTTCACAAAATCCAAATATAGCCCAGAACAATGCTCAAATTCAAGAGCTGAGGAAATTTTGAGCTGGATCCCTTTCTGGGGCTAGAGAGACAGTCTAGGTTTAGCTTATAATGAACGCCAGAGTCCCCATTTATTGGTTGCCATCTGCATTTTCCAACTTGCCGACAAAACCTATACGTGTCACATAGATTCGTAATTAGGTACGCTTGTAACCCCCTACCTTCAATGGGCAATAATGATGCAGATTGTTCAAACACAGGCTAATTCTTTCACGGTAAACCTCCTTAGGAAATCATGAACCATGACATGTGTTGGCCCATATTCAGAAAGAGTGATGGTCCATAGGGTAATAAATAAACCAGACAAGATAACGGTTAGAAGACGAGTAAGCCAAGCTGCGGTATGAAGTAGGTGAGCAATGCGCCCATTGAACACTCAAAGGTCCTCCGTTTCATTTTGCAGCACGATAAGGCAAATTAATTCGAGTTGGAAAATATAGGGCCTTAACACGAAATCATATAAACCCAGTGTTGTTAGAAGATTGTATGGCTCAAGAAAAGGCATCACCAATCACAGTCAACACGGATGTTCCTTGTATGGGATCCTCTCCTTGGAAGTCTTGGTATGAGCGCCCGGGTGGCACACTCGACCTGGAGGTTGTCAGGTGTTGTCATGCCATACCTTTGTCCTGATAGACAGTGATAGATGATGCTTCAAAACATCCGTGGAACATTGTTTTACGATCTGGTCGCAACTGAGCTCCACCAAAAAGGTGTAGCACATCAAGTACTGGGGGCAGTGGGACAGCCTAGTGGTTAAAGCGTTCGTTCGTCACGCCGAAGACCCAGGTTCGATTCCCCACATGGGTACAATGTCTGCACCCCGCTGTGATATTGCCGGAATATTTCTAAAAGCGGCGTAAAACCATACTCGTTTACTTCATCTTTATAACTAAAGTGGCATTAATGTAAACTAAACCCCCTCACTCATTAAATATGTTATGTATTATATAGATAATCAACTGATTACATAAAACTGTTCACATTTGGCACAAGCACTAACCAGCGTTCGAAATTAACGTCGGCCCTCGGGCCCGAATGCAACTGAAAACCACTCGGACCCACAGCTTTTTTTTCAGGTCCTTATGGCCGACAGCTTTTTCATCTCCAATTAAAATATAGGGCCTACACATTCTGATCAGGACCCACAACTTTTTATGGTTCAGGGTCCTTTTTGCCTGCGACTTTTCAGGGTTAAGGGCAAACACTTTCACTAACCGAGGTTTGTCATGGCACACGTGACACGATTGAATGTTTAAGTGAAGGTTGTTTGTATGGTGAAGGTTCATGTATGGCCACCATTAGAGTCCATATCTGTCGGATATTACCTATTGTGGCCTAGGGAATGTCCACTCATTCTTCCAGCTGTGCTTGTGCCAACTGTTGGAGGTTCTGTGACAGTTGCTCACGTCATCATATATGATGACCAATAGCATCCAGTAAATGTTAGATGGGGTTTTAGCTCCCGAGGCTTTGAGAGCCATGGCCGTACTTGTATGTTGTGGTTCCTCAAAAAGACGGTTGTCAGACTTGCCGTTTGAGGTAGGGTTATCGTCGTGTAAAAAATATGCTGTTTGCTTGTTGGATAATGGGAAGAATATGTGGCCGAAAACCTTCGCCTGTGTAATGTTGTGCCGTTAGATTGCCCTGGAGGTATAGCAAGTCTGTACTACCGCTGTGGGTGATTTCAGCCCTTATCTTTACACTACCGTCACTAAACATGTCCACTTTCTGCATGCAGTTTCGAGCATAACGTCTGTAAACATGACGTCTTCCGTCTCGAGTGTTCACAAAATATTTGCGGGTGAGTTCAGTTTTACGCCGCACTCAGCAATATTCCAGCTATATGGCGGCGGTCTGTAAATAATCGAGTCAGGATCGGACAATTCAATGATCAACAGAATGGGCATCGATCTACGCAATTGGGATACACACACAAAAACATTCACCTATACACTGAACGTCGTGTGAATCCGTTCAGAACAGTCGTCTCTTATTCCATGGGACTGGCAGATTGACGTGATTGCGCTGTGGATTGCTGTCTGAGAAAACAAAGGGCCTATTTATTGCTTCACTGTACCTAGTCACTGGCTGGTGCTATGTTTTTGTATAAACGTTTCATGTCTTGTGACTTGTCATACTAACCAACATTGAAGTCAGTATTTTCGTTCCATGTATATACCAAATGTAAACCAAATTAAAAGTCGAGCAATAAAATGACCTTACCACCATTGGGTCAACTAGCATGATATATTCCCATCTGTCGCCTGAACAGCTTGATGCATGTCTGATGACAATAAATAGAACATAGCTGCGTAGAAGAATGTATATTCTCTTCATGTTAAAGGAAATGGAGAATTCATCCAATAAATCCAAACTACATGAATCCTAAGGGCTTACTACAATAATGAAGTCTTTTTTTTACCAGAAAAACCATCAGCATTTATGAAAGATAAATGTACAAGAATGGAATCTCAACATTACACTGTATGTTCGCATTTTCAGTTGACTGATGGTCTAACGCTTGTATTTACGGATGGATGTTGGTTAATTGTAAACATTGTAAAGCCCTTATTTGTGTACACCCCAAACAGTATTTTTTTGAGAATCCTTGTTTAAATTCACACCTGAAAATAATTCTTAAATTGTGTTACATTAATTCCCAACACACACATGCTTTATCCACCTCTACGTATATTTGTCGTGCGCTTCTTTCATTTTCCAATCAGTCATACCAGATACAATCATATTATGGTTGTATTGGGGTTCGGTCAGTTTCGTCTGATGACTGATTTGGTGTGTGTGTGTGTGTGTGTGCAGCGAACGATTTTGTGATTCACATTGCACATGCTTCTCTATAAAATCCATCACCACCACCACGATCCCAAGTAAACGGTACTAGTATGTTCTTATCTCAACAGTGACAAATATTATGTAAAATATCACTACATTCACAAAACCAGAAGACATTTTTGTTCTGAAAAATGTCATCAGTCTAATGCACCTACCGCTCAGCCTTTTGGTTTATGACACATTGCCGCATTAACATTTTTCTATATTACCCACATGCCATAATCACATTATGTCATACCATGACCCATCACATACTGACAAAGTTGCAGTTTTGGGGACTTCAGTCAACAATTCAGAAGCATCAAACCCTTAATTTATGCTGAAAGAATAACTCCTCAAACTGAAAAAGGTTGTGGAAAGTGCAAGATGAAAAGTGAGTCACTTCAAACCATCAGCATTTCAGTCATGTCACAACACATCGATGTTCATGCTGTTGATCACTGGATTGTCTGGTCCAGACTCGATTATTTACAGACCGCAGCCATATACATGTTGCTGGAATATTGCAGAGTGCGGCGTAAACCTTAACTCACTCATATCACAACATGCAAACTAGATATGGTAATGAAAGCCTAAAATGATGCAGTTCTTCAACAGTTAACATTTGAAAGAAACCCACTGACTTGAAGGGTACGATGCACATACGTTTACCCCCGACAATCCTGGTATGTCCCTACCAGATGAAGACACTGAGGACTATTGAGTGTGTTGTGCCCCAGACCACAAAGCTGCTTGTGACTTGTTTCAAAGAGTGAATGACATTGAATACAAAACCTTATTAATATGCTGCTAGATGCTGGAACCTTTAACCATCTCACAAAGATGGTGTGACGAGATGAGCTCTGGATATGAATTATACACTGCATATTTTTCATTTGTTTTGGTGGAATTGGACAAAAATATAAGACAACAATTTCCAGAAACAGAAGATAGTTGGCCACTCAAATGGATACAAATGGTTCATTAATTGGAATGTTGTCCTCAAAAAACACCTACTTCCAAAATCCATAAAAAGCAAAATACCAATTGACCAGACTGACTGACATCCTGCAAACAATCTTTGACTTACGTTTTTTGAATAACTTGGCTGACAGATTGCACCCAGCCTTGTATACACCTACCACTTGTGAATGAATTCAGTTTTGCGCAGTACTCACCAATATTCCAGCTACATGACGGAGGTCTATAAATAATCGAGCCAGGACCAGACAATCCTCTGATCAACAGCATGAGCATCGATCTATGCAACTGGTATCAGATGCCATGTGTCAACCAAGTCAGCGAGCCTGACCACCCAATCCGTTAGTCGCCTCTCATGACAAGCATGTGTTTCTGAAGACCAATTCTAACCTGGATCTCCACGGGTCTCACTTAAGAGGAGCATTCAAATCCATGGCTACTTTCTCAATCAGGCAAAGAAAAACACAGAATATGTTTAAAGATGATGTTTATGGCGAGTGGCATCCCCCCATTACAATACACTGACATACACATGAATACACTGACATATCACAGGTAAAGGCCCTCAGGGGTCCCCTCATTCTTCCTGTATAAAACATTCTCCTTGGCTTTCTTAAAGTCTTCTGCAGTCACCTTCATTCTCCTCTCTCTCAGAGCCAGCAGGCCACCCTCAGTGCAGATAGCCTGGAAAAGGACATAGCAAGTTAACCAGCAACTGCAGGAAATTATATAGTATTTAATATTCACCACTCTCTTTATGGGATACAAAGGTACTTTCTAATATGAACACAAAGTATGCTTTGTCAGCTTAGTGTTCAAATTTATTCAGATGTGTAAGTAGTCAGAAAGTGGCTGGATGAATGTCTTTAAGGTTGCAGGAACCAACATTCCAACAACATCACTGTATCCAGTAAATACTGGGAGGATGGGCCCAAGGACACTTACGTACTAAAGGCAACTATTACACTATTGTTGGATAATAACACATCATCAGCCTGAACAGCTAGGTTGTAATATCAGTTCCATGCTGCTGATGCACCTGGAGCAATTTCATTCCCAGATGGGGTAAAAGTAAGAATAAAATGTTGTTGGAAGTATTGCTCTGTGAGTGTGAACACAGGCTTGGCACTTGTTAGGGTCTTATGTACTTGGGTAAGTTATACTGGCATGGGTTATGCTTATGTTAAATGAGCAGTTATAATAACCTTGATATCAGCCCCAGACAGGTCATCTTTAGCCATGACATAGTCATCTATGTTGACATCACCAGCCAGGGTCATGCGGCTAGTGTGGATGGTGAAAATCCTCCTCTTTGTCTTCTCATCGGGGAGTGGGAACTCAATCTTACGATCAATACGACCAGGACGAATCAGAGCTGGATCCAGAGTCTCAATACGATTTGTAGCCATGACCACCTGTTAACACAGTGAGTGAAACATGGAGATTCAGCTAAAAATATGTTATTATATTTGACTATACATTCAGTACTAGTTTAATGGGTGATTTGATGTTTTCATATATATGCATCAGCAATTTCATCATGTTAATAGGTGTTGAAAAGAGTTTTATCATCATATTTCGAACCAATGTTTTGTGAGAGAATCTATACCAAGTTTCTTGTTTTACTGTAACTATAAACTATGTAAACACCTTGGAATCCAAATCAGCAAATATGCATGGAAAATAAGCAGCACTCAAAGATTTGTGTAATCTAGAGTAAACTTGTTAATCATGTCAATGACCAAATGTCAACTGATTTAACAATTAGTGTTCATGTACCTTGACATCTCCCCTTGAGTCAAAACCATCAAGTTGATTTAGCAGCTCCAACATTGTTCTCTGGATTTCTCTCTCGCCACCAGAGTTGGAGTCGTACCTGGAACAGTTCCACCATATGAAACAACTCGAAGTAATTCACATTCAGCTTATTCAGCTTGACCTGAGCTACTCTACATATGCATGACCCAGGAGGTCAAATGGTACAAACGGCAGGTCGAGTTAACCTCATTAAATAGGGGAGAAGAGAATGTCAAATGGCGACCTTGTCTTGGCTGTTCGGACATGTTGACAATCAACTGACAGAGGTGCACCCCTTCACAATAATAGACCCAACCAGTTTTGACACGGTCACGCAAAGCATTAGTATTCACTTGATCAGGTCAAGCTGAACAAGCTGTACTTGCATTACCACCTACACCTGGATTACCAAGTCAGCAAGTTGTATTGAAATTCCAATGTATTATACACACAGTCTAAAATACTTGGTTTTCAAAAGTAATTACAAAAGCTAAAAGCTAAAATAGACATAAAAACAATCCTGTCAAACATACCTTTTCGTTCCAATTGCATCAATCTCATCAATAAATACTATAGATGGGGCATGTTCTTCTGCAACCCTAAAGAGTTCTCGAACAAGCTTTGGTCCATCTCCCTGGAATAATGACAGTGAACAAACTTAATTGTTGTACTAGATGCTTCTTGTTGCTGCTGAAGAAGAGTGATTAGCTAAGCCTCAAGTTTTCTTATAAGAAATGTCACTACGAGGCTAATATCTCACAGCATTAGTTGAAAGACATCTTTACTTACCAAGTATTTTTGTATGAGTTCAGATCCAACAACTCGCAGGAAAGTAGCAGACGTCTGATTGGCTACAGCTTTGGCTAGCAAAGTTTTACCTGAAAACATGTAGAAACATACCATATTGTAACCTTCAATACTTGTTTCGAAGATGTTACTTGTCCAACACCAGTGTACACGTCTTACATGGAGACTATGCTTCACAGCTTTTGCTCATATCTGAATGAGCCCAAGACTGATATATATCATAAGCTGTAAGTGGCACTACATTTGTACATGTTTTGAATGACTTAAATTTGTTTTGCTGGGATTGCTAAATGATCAAGCCTAGATACTCTTGAAAAGGGAAGTGAAAAACGATGATACATTTTGATTTACAATTACTTCCTCCTTTAGACAAACGTAATTGAGTCAACTTAATGTTACAAGTGTTTCATAAATGATGTATCAGTTGTTTATAACATGTCCCTTTCACATCTGGACAACTGTCCTGCTGACAGTTTTGTAAACTGGGACTAAGTCAGGTGTTAGATTTATGACAGACAGACCTGTCCCAGGTGGGCCATACAAAATGACCCCTTTTGGAGGTTTGATTCCCATCTCTTCATAATATTCAGGGTGGGTTAAGGGCAGTTCAACTGACTCCTGAAATACAAGAGAAACATTTGATCAAGATCATTTGATAATGAAAATTCTGACCATTGTTATGAAATAATCACTGATATTCATATTCGGAAAGTAACGAATGTGGGGTTAAAAATACCTTGATTTCCTGTATCTGGTTATCAAGCCCACCAATGTCGGCATATGTTTCTTGAGGAGCCTTCTCCAGCTTCATGACTGTCACCATTGGGTCAGTGTCGTCTGACAACACACCGACCACAGCATGCACCTGGCAGACACAGGAATGGCAACAATTTTAACCCGAATGCTTTCCAAATTCAACAAAGCTACTTAGGTTAATGATACTGTAACAAGCATTCCACAAGGATCTTCTAACATCATCTCTAGGACAAGAACTTGCCTATTGTGTAACTTTACACCTGCATACAAAGAAGGATATGTCTCACATTTTCTCAAAAGAACTTCAACATCTTCAAAGTGAAACACAATACACATGATATCAGGCGTAATGTTCAAGACCATATGTTCTCAGGCAACAGCACACAGCCATATACACTGACACAGTAGTCTCATCATTTAGAAGATCCAATGAAAATGGACCTAGCCATTTCTTATCATCTGATCTTATTATGCTATGTTATCAAGTATTTACAGCTCGGGATAAACAATTAGTAAAGGGCTTAACATCCTTAAGTTAAGTGTTATCATTTCTATATCTCAAATGCAGAAAATGAATTCCTGTTAATACTGGTGTTTATGATTATGATGATTTACCTTATGATTGAGTAAGACTGAACACCCTGGTTCCAGCTGATCTTTATCAACAAAGGAGAGGATGCTGACGTAGTGCTCACTGCCAACTGATGTGGATACAATGGCATGGTTGTCATCAATGATCTCCTCCAGGTTGCCCACTGACATAGGAGAACCACGCAACTCATCTACCTTAGTTCTCTCCTCCTGGATTCATGAGTAGTAGAAACAAGAATTAACACTGCACTTTTCATAATTACGTTTCCTTCTAATTCTGACAACACAAAAGAAATTACACTGCCTGTGACTTACATCCCTAGTTCAAGACAGTACCTAGTAAAATTTCAAGACTATTAAACTGTAGTAAAGAAAACACTCCCCCCAAAAAATATAATGTAAGTAGTACTGAAAAAGATTGATAAGCATGATAACGGTAAGATTGGTTTTATCATGCTTTTAGACTCAACAGTTTTAGGCACAGATGGTTAATGCAAAATTATTGTATAAACTAAAGTAGAACTATTGGTGAAATATAGGACTGCTATTGTTGCACAGGTCACCTCATGTTTCTCCTCTTGTGGCTTCAGTCTCTCCTGGTTCTTGATGAATTCTTCTTCCATCAGTAAGTAGTCTTTGATTCGTTCTAGTTTTAGTAACTTTAGTCGACATCTTGTGTGTGGGGTTACTAAAATATATAAAGATGAACCGTGAGTTAGCAATAGCAAATATCATGAACAATGTGCTGAAATTTTGAAAAATGGAAGTTTTGAAGTTTATTTATGAAAACAGTGCCAACTTACTGTTGCTATGGTAAATCACTTGATATCATAAACATGATATAAAGGGATTCAATGTTTTCAAAATGCATAAACAGTCGTCATACACAACAGTCACTTGCAGCCCAAGTTTATCAGTCACCCGAGTCTGGACCAAACAAACCACTGCTTTAAGCTATGAGCAATGCCTTATACTGACAAGCTACAATGCAATCAACTATGCCCTTTCCACATAGAGTAATATTTAATAAAGAAATCAATAACAATCCCTGCTGAAAATGTGAGACTGGATTGGATACACACCTTGTGGAAGTTTGGTTGCGGCATCAGGTCCCTTTGCTTTCCTCTTCTTCTTACCTACACGAGTTGGGACAGGAGGTTCATACTTCCTTTTCTTATCCTGAAAAGTACAGATACAAATATTCCACTAATTCAACCAACCAAACATTTGCCATGTCTTTAATACAGTATATAGTTCCAAAAAAGTTCAATGACATATGATACCCAAGAGATGGAAACCTAACACCAAGAACATTAGCAACATCTAGAAGTCTTATGTCATAGTTGAATATATTGTCTTAATGTACTTCTTCCTGTTACATTACAAATGCTTAAAGGTAAACCAGATACTTACTATTTGCATTTTTTCTTAATCATGTTAATGAAATTTTCTTTGGCTAGTCATGGATCTTTCCATGTTTCTTTTATCATGTTAGTTGTGTGTACAAACATCAATGGTCAAAGCAGCATACCTTATCGTCAGACTTATCACCACCTTGTCCACCACTTCCACCAGATTGCTTCTGACCCTGCAATACAATACATCACACATACAGGAGGCATTGCTGATAAACATGATAAAGACAGGAGTCCATAGTAAGTATATTTGCGTAAATATAAATAACCACTGCCCAATACATATTTTTAGTAGTATGCATAGGCATACATGAACTATTTCCAACAGTTCAATAACACTCCACATAATTAACTAGTCTAACATGTATTGCATTGCCACCATTAGATCTTCTATTACGGATTTCATGCAAGCATCATCCATACATCATGCGAGTGAAACCTAAAAAAAATAAAATGTTGTGGTTCTGATTACCCGACCGACCCTTGAAGTTGGGTGCCTACCCTATTCTTTTTAAGCGGACTGAATAAAATAAGATTTCAGATACCATTGTTTTCTCCCGGCACCGACAGACATAGGTAATTCCGATAGAGAAAGTCGACATGATGGTCGCAAGCTTGATTTAATAAGCAATTACACATTGATACATGTGTTATTAGTTTGTACATTCCTTCTAAAAAAAATATGCAAAAAAAAATAATTCCTACCTACCCTAAATTTTAAAGGGGTGTAATCAGAACCACAACATTTTATTTATTTGGCCTGAGTGAGTGAGTTTTACCGCTTTTAGCAAAATTCAGGCAATATCACAGCGGGGGAGACCAGAAATGGGCTTCACACATTGTACCCATGTGGGGAATCAAACGCGGGTCTTCAGTGTGACTGGCGAACGCTGTATCCTTTAGGCTACCCCACCACCCCCATGCATCATGTACCGGTACATATTTTCACTGGAGTAAATAATGCTAAAAACAACAGCTACAGCCTCATTAATGTTAATTAAACATGTATATGGGTGTTATAAGTTTATTTATCATGTTACACACACACACACACACACACACACACTGAAATACACGTTAGAAGTCACCTGTTTGAAAATAAATTGAACATGCCCCAAAATCTGTCAATACCTAATGAGAATAACATCTTCTCACGTCCCAAAATGTACTACAATATAGAACTCGTTTAATAGACATGCACCACGCAAACAGATCCTGTAAGTGACCTACAATGTCAATGTTGCTAAGTTGTGGAATTTGTTTAGCAAATTATGAACACGCTGAAGAACTAATAGGTCATAATTAGCAGTACGAGTCTAAGGGTACAAGGACCGGGAAGATGTTCCGAGCTCTAATGTATAAACTATATTGAAAACCCTTTCGGTTGTTAAAACTTCCCACGAAAATAGGAGACGAATTTCATTGTGATTCAGCAAATAATGCATACAAGGATTTGGCAATCAGATGTAAAAGAACATATGAAATTAACCCAGGTGTGTATTCAGTCAGCTGGCAGTAAACTTAGGTACTCTGTCCTATACGTCAGTCGCGCGAATAAATCTACACATTCAAAAGCCATGGAAAATGAAAACGAAAATTGTCAAAACATCTCTCCATGTCTCACCATTTTCACAGGATACGGATCACTGCGCAGACGCAAGCATACGCCACCTACCGAGAAAAACCAAGTGGGGACAACTCCCACATCGACAGTCACACGGCTCAACCAGATCATGCAACTTTTTGTTTGCAATAAGTTGTATTAGCAGAAGCTGTAAATCATTCAGTATTTATATGGTTCAATCTTAGGCAAGCCGTGATATCGCTAGGATATATTGCTAAAAGCGGCGTGAAACCTCACTCACTCTAACTTTTGCGAGCTGCCGGTCAGACCCTGGTCTGCTAATACTGCCTGAAGTAATGGAAAAACCTTGTTCATTTTCAGGGGCTTGTGATTCAATAAGGAAATCACATTAGCAAGTATTTCAAAATATACCATTCGTTATTCTATGTGAAAATAATTTATTACATTTTGTCAAAGTGTATATGTTTCACAATTTATTATTATTCATTGTCCATCTTCTTCAAAATACGGGACGGTGGGTAGCCTAGCTAGCCTACCTCCTTAGGAAATCTTGAACCATGACATGTGGTGTCCCATATTCAGGCAGAGTGATGACCCACAGGGTAGTAAATAAATCAGACAAAGATCAGGGTTAGAAGACAAGTAAACCAGACTGTGGTATGAAGCATATGAGCAATGCGCCCATTGGACACTCAAAGGTCCTCCGTTTCATTTTGCAGCACGATAAGGCAAATTAATTCGAGTTGGAAAATCTCGCGCCTTAACACGAGATCATATAAACCCAGTTTTGTTAGAAGATTGTATGGCTCAAGATAAGACGTCACCAGTCAACGTGGATGTTCCTTGTGTGGGATCCTCGCCTTGGGAGTCTTGGTATGAGCGCCCGGGTGGCACACTCGACCTGGAGGTTGTCAGGTGTTGCCATGTCAGACCTTGGTCCTGATAGACAGTGATAGATGATGCTTCAATATATCCGTGGAACATTGTTTTACGATCTGGTCGTAACTGAGCTCCAGCAAAATGGTGAAGCACATCAAGTGCTGGGTGGGTTGGGGTAGCCTAGCGGTTAAAACGTTCGCTCGTCACGCTGAAGACCCGGGTTCGATTCCCCACATGGGTACAATGTGTGAAGACATTTCTGGTGTCCGTGATATATTGCTGAAATATTGCTAAAAGCGGCGTGAAACCTCACTCACTCTAACTTTTGCGAGCTGCCGGTCAGACCCTGGTCTGCTAATACTGCCTGAAGTAATGGAAAAACCTTGTTCATTTTCAGGGGCTTGTGATTCAATAAAGGAAATCACATTAGCAAGTATTTCAAAATATACCATTCGTTATACTATGTGAAAATAATTTATTACATTTTGTCAAAGTGTATATGTTTCACAATTTATTATTATTCATTGTCCATCTTCTTCAAAATACGGGACGGTGGGTAGCCTCGCTAGCCTACCTCCTTAGGAAATCTTGAACCATGACATGTGGTGTCCCATATTCAGGCAGAGTGATGACCCACAGGGTAGTAAATAAATCAAACAAAGATCAGGGTTAGAAGACAAGTAAACCAGACTGTGGTATGAAGTAGGTGAGCAATGCGCCCATTGGACACTCAAAGGTCCTCCGTTTCATTTTGCAGCACGATAAGGCAAATTAATTCGAGTTGGAAAATCTCGCGCCTTACCACGAGATCATATAAACCCAGTTTTGTTAGAAGATTGTATGGCTCAAGATAAGACGTCACCAATTGCAGTCAACGTGGATGTTCCTTGTGTGGGATCCTCGCCTTGGGAGTCTTGGTATGAGCGCCCGGGTGGCACACTCGACCTGGAGGTTGTCAGGTGTTGTCATGTCAGACCTTAGTCCTGATAGACAGTGATAGATGATGCTTCAATATATCCGTGGAACATTGATTTACGATCTGGTCGTAACTGAGCTCCAGCAAAATGGTGAAGCACATCAAGTGCTGGGTGGGGTGGGGTAGCCTAGCGGTTAAAACGTTCGCTCGTCACGCTGAAGACCCGGGTTCGATTCCCCACATGGGTACAATGTGTGAAGACCATTTCTGGTGTCCGTGATATATTGCTGAAATATTGCTAAAAGCGGCGTAAAGCCATACTCACTCACTCTTCAAAATACAACGGTTGTGTTTTGCATTAACCTCCTGTGCAATATGCTGTGTCGAAGTGACTTCCACCGAAGGGTTTGTCGTTTTTTTCAGATGATGAAGAAACGTACGTTTTGCTATGTGAATAAAATGTTGAATAATATAATAACTTATTTAACAGCATTTACATGTTGGTATGACGAACATGTTAGATACTTGCATTGATATACATCTTTAAAAATCGAGTAGGCTACGTTTCCGTGCAGATACCATCGTGGTCGCTCCCTTTCATCCCGTACATTCTCAAGTACGACGTAAAACCCAGTTTCACCTCACCTCATCCCGTACATGCTCTGTCGGGGTATGCATAGGAATTTGCAGGCCAAGGCAGTGCTTGAACATTATGCTGTTGAAGAAAAGCAACACCAGTCGTGTGAGGAAGGGGATTACTAGTATATTGTTGGAAAGTCAATCCTGGGTCATGACATTGAAGAAACGAATTGCCACTGGTCCGAGAATCTGAGCTCTGTAGCCAACGTCTGTCAAATTGTCAGAGGCGTTCTCTGACATGCACTCATCCCACCACAAATAATAATTGAACCACCAACATTTCCACTTAAAGACAGGTTTAGCGAAACGCCCCCTATGACGTCTGTGGATACGCTGACGTCTGCCACTACGGGAAGTGTTAAATATTGCCACTGGTCCGAGAATCTGAGCTCTGTAGCCAACGTCTGTCAAATTGTCAGAGGCGTTCTCTGACCACTCATCCCACCAAATAATAATTGAACCACCAACATTTCCGCCCAAGGGTTTACAAACGCCCCCTAAGACGTCTGTGGATACGCTGACGTCTGCCACTACGGGAAATGTTAAATATGGACAAATCTGGTTAAATCTATAAAAACTACAGTGCTGTCCACAACCGAAGGTGACGGACATTCGGCACCACCATTGACGATTTTCTTGATGGCGTTGTGTAAATATAGGCCGTATGGAGGGACGACGCGGCATATCCCGTAATGACGTTAGCAGTTCCTGACAATGTTCGAGAGGACACGTCTGTCGGTTCAACCAAAGCAGTAAATGTCTAAAACATCTCTCTCACATCAAGCTAAACCCCCTGGATATATTGTCCACAGTGTGCAGTGTTAAACCAACTCACTCATTCATTCCACACGCATCCATATTGTGAAAATAATTTGTATTTAATTTAAAGTTGTTGCAACAAAGTGCAGTTAACAAGTCAAACTACTGCATCATTCACTTTATTTCGTTCTGGCAGCTGCTGAATTGAGGCCCATCAGCAACATACACAAACAACATCTGAGTTTACAATGTTTATCATGCGGGCTTAACAACATGAAACCTGCACAAAATCACAGTGATACGACAGCATACAACACGTCATCGAAATACATGCCCCCAATGGGTCAGATGAGAATTACTCAAAACGAAATGCTGTAAAAAAACATAACAAAGGAATGTTGTAATTGAAAACAATGGTCAACAAATGACAACGTGCCAAATTTACACTTCTTCCCGTGGTCCCTGGCTAGTAAAAATTCACCAGGACCACCAAATGATAAGTTTGCAGTGGTCCTGGTGGCCAGTGAAGTTTGTTTTGATAGTTAGGTAAATCTACAAATGATATTCTGTACCAGTGAACTACAGACAGGACCACTAGTTATTGTCCTCTAACTGGTCCTGTGGTCTAGCGGGATATTGTGAAAGATTTCCTTTCCCGATTCATACAAGCCAAGAATTAATCTGGAAGATTATAGAGGGAATCCTTTTCATATTTCACATGAAATCAAATAGGGAATGATCAAATTCCACTGGGCTGATTTAGTTGTCAAGATATTTTTATGAAGTGTTGTAACCATTGGACAAACACATATCAATCAATATCCTCTTCCCTGCAATCAGTATGTCATTATGCAAGTTGTTTTTTAATAGTGACAATATTTTCAGTGTGACGCAAAATCCATGTTATGTCAAATTATGACATCATTAGCAAACTCTGACATTTCGATTTGGAATCATGATGATTGACATATTGATTGATGATTTTTTAAACTAAAATTACAAGTTATATTTTAAAGTTATGTTTTCATATTCCAATCATAACTGAAGACTTTTTGTAAATTCACATTTTGTTGCTTTTGCTGGTGGAGTGGGAAAATACATGGTGTCATGATACTACATGTATGATCATGAGAAAGAAAGATTCATCGTACAAAAAATATTATTGGTCTTGGGTTAATGTTCTTTGGTGGTAATTTAACAAACATGATGATAACAAACACTGCTTTGATGTACTGACATTTAAGTGCGCTGACAACTGATTAACACACTAATGGCCGCATCATATGGTTCCGAGTGAGTGAGTTTAGCTTTATGCCACACTCAGCAATATTCCAGTTATATGGCAGCAGTCTGTAAATAATTGAGTCTGGACCAGACAATCCAGTGAGCATCGATCTGCGCAATTGGGAACCGATGACGTGTCAACCAAGCCAGCAAGCCTGACCACCCGATCCTGTTAGTTGCCTCTTACGACAAGCATGGGTTACTGTAAGCTCATTCTAACCCGGACCTTTACGGGTCGGTTCCAAATCTGTACATCAACTGAAGCTGCGACAGTGGTGAAACTCGATGTCTGTTCCTGCAAAGGTGAATGAGGGGAGCATCCAACCAAAATACAACATCTAAGGGACATTTGTAGCTTATACTGAACCTGTTATTAACATATACTACTGAAATCAAGTGAAAGAACACCAGATTCTTTCATGTAACTAGGACAGACATGACAGATTAACCACAGTAGTATGAAATAACTGTGTATACGAACATTGTTTGAGTAGTATAATACTTGAAACTGTCAAGAATGGCACTGTTTGACTGAATGTTTCGGACATGATGATCTATGCGATGATCCATGATATGATGATGGATTAATGATCCACAAAACAAGAAGCATGGCACACTCGATTGAATGGCTCCGTTGGTAGACTGCTAACTGTCGTCAGCACCAGCCTCATAGTCTTTACTTGATGATGTTTTGAGTCATTTGAATATTTACTAAACATGCCTCTGTAAGCAGCTTTCAGTTCCTTGTCTTGTTTTTGAAGTTCTTTTTTACACAGTGTTGTGTACTTCTTTACTGATGGTTCTGAAAACACATAAACAGGGCTGTAGGTTTGGTTATTGACAAGAATTGGGTTTGTTATATTTAAATTTAAAAGATCTTACATTATTACATCTCAAGTTTATATTTTCAGCATTAATAACAGGAACACATGGATACATGCATTGTTTAAACCTGAAGGTGGATTACAAAGGTTGTGGATCTTGTAACATCATGGATTTATCTCACAGAATCAGTGAAATGTATTTATTTAACAACTAAAAAAAGGGGCAGTGGGGTAGCCTAGTGGTTAAAGCGTTCGCTCGTCGTGTTGAAGACCCGTGTTCGATTCCCCACATGGGTACACACATCCTCGATAATCTCCAGGGAATACGTTCCGATAAATCTCCGCTATACCCTGGATGCATCTTACTTCCTCCCTAGGCTGGCTTTTTATCCAATCAGGTGTCTACTCTGGGAAGTTAAGCATACCAATCACAACTCACTTTCGCTTCTTTTATCGAACTGATTAAACTTGGAAACACAATTGACGCAGAGGTTCTCTGAAAGAGGTAGAAAGAGCTCTTGCATATATTTTTTAAGGTTTCAGACCTGTCAATTTGTCTGTATGATTTGCCCGAAAATCTAAGTCGCACCGTGAACAAAACCTTCGCGGCTGCAACCGCTATCTTTGTTGACGCTGGCAAACTCGGTTGTAACGGCGGCCTAGCTGATGGGCTACTGTGAGAATGCGGAGCCAGCAAAGGGATGTAATAAAATTATCGGGCCGAGCCATAGATGCATCCAGAGATACCCTGGAGATAATTGAGGATGGGGTACAAAGTGGGAAGGCCATTTCTGGTTCCCCTGCCGTAATATTGCTGGAATATTGCTAAAAACAGCATTAAACCAAAGTCACTCACTACAAAACTAAGATAAATGTAGATATGTTTTATTGTTTATGATACTAATGTCACTATCTGCTGTTCATTAACACAGACACCCATTTCTGGTGTCCCCGCCGTGATGTTGCTGGAATATTGCTAAAAGCGACATTAAGCCAAACTCAGTCAGTCAGTCAGTCATTAACACATACCACAGAATAAAGCAAGAGAGGATACTAATACACTGAAGTCAATCAATCATATATAACATTATCAACCATTAACTTAAACCATCATACATACCTTCACTGGCTTGGCTAAAGACATCTAATGCTTTCTCATATCTTTTCAAGTGGTACAAAGCTTGTCCTTTTCTGTACACTGCCTTGACATTGCCTGTCTGGATAGCAAGTACACTGTCACAGTACTCAATCACTTTCTGATAGTTGGGTTCACCCTGCTGCAGGAGACAGGCTGCAAATAGATCCACTTTTACATGCACACAAAATAATATCTGTGTACCAAATAGCAAAATGACTCCTGTCAATGTTCTTTATTCAAGGGTTAGAAATTATTGAACAATTTATGTGAAAACATCCATGATTGGTCTGAGACACATGCAAACCAATAAAGGCTTCACTTACTGACTGACTGAGTATGGTTTTACGCCGTTTTTAGCAATATTCCAGCAATATCACGGCGAGGGGACACCAGAAATGGGCTTCACAAATTGTACCCATGTGGGGAATCGAACCCGGGTCTTCTGCGTGACGAGCGAACGCTTTAACCACCAGGCTACCCCACAGCCCCGCTTCACTTACTGAATACATGATACATTTTATGGATGGATAATAACATCTTTTATTTTTTACATGATGTTTCATAGCTAATTCTTGCTTCTTCATTAGGTGAGAGCTGAGTCAGTGCACAGAGTTAATATATATAAACATGTTTTATCTATATATATTAACTCTGTGCACAGACTCAGCATTCAGTAATACCTTCAATATGGCCAACAAGATGGTCTTTGTTTCAGTCTGACATTTGACTGGTCCATGTGGTTCTAATCTGATCAACTGTAAACCTGCCCGCTGGCATCATTTAAGAAAGTCGTAATTGGACAAGCATAAAGTTTGATTAATCTGAAGGGACAGAATTGGTTTTCACCTGCCTCTACTGTTCCTTCTTGTACCCATTAATACCAGGTCCTGTTTTTAGCGTCTTCATTTTTAGTCACTCTACTGTAGTTTGCATGCATTTCCAGTGATCAACAGCAGGCATCGATCTGCGAGGATGACATGTGTCATGTGTTCTACTTCTAAAAACCTTCAACGTGAATATACCTGCTAAGTTGTTATAACAATCTGACTGAAGATTTCCAACTTCGAAAATCATCTCTTGTGGTATTGGGTGTGTTTCATCTTCATCCTGACCGGTGAACATCGCTGCTAATGATTCTCTGCCCTGACCAATTCCCTTCAGATGCAACAAAGCTCTGTGGTATTTTCCAATGGCCAGTCTGTAGTTTTTATTTTTATAGGCGTCATTTCCCTCGGATTTATAATGTCTTGCTTTAGAAAGTTTAACTGTGTCTGGAATTTTTCACCGTCGTCCTCCATTATGACTCAGTATCTCTTATATATATATTAAATACACAAAATGGTTCGAGTCTGTTTACATCGAATCCTACAGCTTCTTGAAGCATGGGTACAGAAGACTATTTTCCATAGTACTAGTCATACTAGTCATTACTTACTAGGGACGTGTTATAAATGGATATACTTGGTCGCCTTATAGGTCCTTATAGCTCTATTTAGGATATTTTAAAGTAAATATAAAAACAAGCAGATATTTCTTTTTATTGTATTAAGATTGCTTTAGTAGATGCTTTATGATTTTCGATGGGGCACAAACAGTATATGTTATTAGTTTTGCTAAATGCGTTTAGGATCGATTCGTTTTTGGTTGCCGTTATAACTCAAAACTAATCATGCTGGTTTTAATAACCTATCATGGATGGATTTTACTATCCAGCTCTGATTTGGGGAGGTTTTGGTTATTTTACACGGCAATTATGAATCTTATTTAAAAATCCTTTTTTCACGACATCTGCCGACAATTGGTCTTTTACTTCACATGGTCCAAGATGGCAGAAGCAATGAGAGCGACTGTTGGTTCCTTATTGAAAGGAATTGACAGGTATATATTGCCTTTTACGTTTATGTAAAGTTATTTTCACATACCGTGAACACAAAATATGTTTACTGGCTCTTGTTATTGGTCACTAAAGCTGATGCTGTATAATTTATATTTGCCGGTACCAGATGTTGATAGGGTCCACTGGGCTGAACATACGGTCGTGATAATCTCGGTATCCAAATTACGGCATTCATTAGTCCCGAGTACAAATGATACTTTTGACATTTGCAAATCAAAAATCGTGCGCAACTGGTTACAGCGATATCATTTCTTGTCCTAACGTAATCCTGAATTCCTTTATTTTGTGACCTGTCCCAACTCACCAGGTGCTCCCACCGTTTCTTGTTTCTATTTCTTGGGTACGGTATCTATAATTGTTTTTGGCCAGCCTCAGCATTATATCGAATTTTATTGTAGGTATTGTTATTATGTGTTATTTACCTCAGTATTCATCCCTATCAACAATGAACTTGACGAACTTGATGAAACTGATCAGTGTGTCTTCACCTTCTTATGTTCTAATTACAGTAGTACATTTTAAACACAAACTCATTCATTAAGTTTCATCATATTGATAGTCCTATGTATGATATCAATAACCAATATTTTCCTTTGCAGGTATAACCCTGAAAATCTGGCAACACTAGAGCGGTATGTGGATATGCAGGCAAGAGAAAACACATATGATGTGGAGGCCAATCTGGCTGTACTGAAACTGTAAGTTTGAATGCTGTCTGTGACTTCTGCATCTATAGCTACTGGTCTGAAACCTTAGTCTAGTAAACATTTTCTGTTCTTATAAAGGGTGTTGGGGTGTTGGGGTAGCCTTGTCGTTAAAACGCTTGAATTTAAATCACGCCACATTACAAGACCTGGGTTCAATTCCCCACATGAGGTACATTGTGTGAAGCTCCGAACTATAGTTTCTTGCATGAAACTCAGGTGACATTCAACTGGCATCTATTCATATTAGCTGGATACAGAACAGATCTCAAAGTGTATGTGTTGCAAAACAACAGTTTCAATACATGAGATCAATCACTTTGGCATGTTTGTCATTGCAACATGTTCATATAGTGTGATGCCTGCATTTTCATATTGCTGTCTCAAGATAGAATTGGCATGAGATCAAGCACTATAGACATGTTTACATTGCAGTGAAAACTGAAAATACAGAAAAGACTGCTATGGCGACGTGTTTATTTTAAAAAAAGTATGTATGTTTATGTGCAAACAAGTCATAATGAATTGGGAAATTGTGATTTTGTCAGTATAGATTACCCCAAAATGCATCTTTATCTTGGGTTCTGGATTGTTGACCTTGTGTTGCAGGTACCAGTTTAACCCAGGATACTACCAGACTGAGATGACAGCTTTGATCCTCCTGAAGGCTCTCACCAACCTCCCTCACACAGACTTCATGTTGTGCAAGTGTCTCATAGATACAGCCAGAGTATCCTTCACTTCCAACAAACTATCCCGTGAAGATCCGGGTTACAATTGATCTTCAGTAACCCATGCTTGACGTTAGAGGCGACTAACAGGATCGGGTGGTTAGGCTCGCTGACTTGGTTGACACCGCCATGATTTGAATTTTGTGAGATAGTAAAATATATTAGATGTCAAAATGTCAAAAACACTAAACTAGTTGCAGTTTTTATGCTCATTGGGAAAGTGTGAAAATGACAATATGTCAAACTGGTCACTTTCGGTCTGTCCTATCAACCTGTGTGATATTTTATGAATTTTTCACCAATGATTAAGTCCTATTATCTCCACCTGATCCTATGAGTGGATCAGATGAGAAGGGACCAGAGCTATAAGCAGCGGACAAACATGATCATGCACTCATTTTTCAGCAATGTTGGCAGTGGTGCACCGTTATGGTTAATAGTTCCTTAGTTCTGTCAGCTCGAAGAAGAACCAATCAGCAGAATTGTTCAGCTTGCATTCTTGTTGGAAACCTGTCAGTTCAAAGATTTCTGGGTAAGAGTAAAGGGTCAATATTGTGTTGTGTTCCTGCCACAAAATAAGGTTTTTGAAATTAAGAAATCAAGGAGAGAAATTTGTCTTAATGAACATGTGATTAGATTGTGCACCATTAATTCTGAGAGATAACTTTTAGTAAAAAGATTACACATTGAATCAAATTTTCTTCATGCTGTAAGCAATTCAGGATAGATTTTCCTTCTCATATGAACCATCAGAGAAGTTTTCAGAATTGTGGTGCCTGAAACAGTGTCATAAACTATGTCTGTCTTTCTCATGGAAATAATGATGGTACTGATATCAGGGATTGTCCGGAGGTCTTAATTCTTGTCACTGTCTAGATCAACCATATTTTCTTGTTTTATTTCTGATTGTAGGAGAATCTGAGAACAGATCCAGATATCATTGCTGGTATCGTGGGTTTTGGAGATTGTGTCAGAAAATGTAAGTGAATCATTTACATTCTTAAGTTTTTGTCACACAAAATCAAGGTCTCACCATCTAGTGTTTTGGTATGCTGCATCAATCATAACTAGGGATGGGTATTGCAGAGAATTTTCATATTGGGATATATCGGGATGCGAAAGCATATATTGCGATATGTACTAATAAAAAACTTTTCACAAAAACCACTAATCGATTAATGCTTGATTATAAAGCAAGAACACAACAAATTCACAATGCTTGATTAAGCTTTAACAACTTTTAATCATGACAAAATAACATGAACTTTTTCAACCCATAATGCTGCCATGCTTAAACCTTTGCCCTAGTATTTGGCACCACAATAAATTGTTCGTTGTTGGGTGTCACCATTTTACAACAAGCGCATGACTTCCAGGGTGAAAACCAAAAATATCCAAAGATTTCCGAGCGTTTTCCTAATGCATGTCAAAGTATCTGTTTTTCGATCAGCGTATCATGATATGTATCGTTTTCATGTGTGAACAGGTAGATATCGGTAAACTGGTTATATTGCACAGCCCTAATCATAACACAGGCAATTTTGCCCTTGTAATAATATCTTCTTTCTGCCAAAGTGTTGCCAATATGAGGGATAATAAGTTGTATATATATTGCAAGCAGTAGTATTTAGAATTTTTTCAGAAGGCATTTCTGGTATCCCCTGCTGTGATATTGCTACAATATTGGTAAATGCAGCGTAAAAAAACCATACACCTGTATTGTTCACGCTCAATCAGTTTTTCAGGTGGTAAGATCCTGTATTGTTCCTTTGTGTGATGATTGTCCTCATCCCCTGTTGATGAATCAGTGTGTGTTACAGATGTGTGCCATGTGGTGAGTGCGACGTACCAGACCATCCCCCACTCGCTGCTACAGGAGCTCCTAGGAGGAATCTCAGGTCAGCATCATACGCTCATAACACGTGTAACCATGTCTACAGGAAGTTAATGTGGTCCATAAATCGCCCACAGTGGGTCTCATTCTTGTAATGTATCTATCTTAAATTTACATCTCCCGGTGGCAGGGGATGTTGGGGTAGCCTAATGGTTAAAGCGCCCGCTTGTCGCACAGAGGCCCATGTTCGATTCCCCACATGGGTTCAATGTGTGAAGCCCATTTCTGGTGTCCCTGCTGTGATATTGCTAGAAGCGGGGTAAAACCTTACTCACTCACTTCAGGTGGCAGCTGGTGACCATGGTTTCATTGGTGCCACAATTTGCAGTCAAAGATGTGACTCTTTACTCAGACAGGTTTGATGATCAGGTATCCATTAGTGTCTACTCTTGCCCTTGGTTTGTCAGCACCAAGACATTTGTATGTCCTTGTGGGTTTCACCTCATTAGTAACTATCAAATGTCATCCTTTGTGTCTATCATGCTCACATGCTGTGTCTTAACTGGAATAATTAACCCAAAGTTCCTCACTTGTTTCTTAAAGCTCCTTTACTCTGAATGTTATTTTCCTTGAAGTCAAAATAATCCTAAATGTTAACAAGCGATTAATTGTAGCTGATGTAACATGTTATATTTGGGATTACACTTTCTTAGTGAAGTACAGATTCTCGAATTTTTGTTGGGCGGAGTCCCATCTGGGATTCGAACCCACACCTTTAGAGTCAGGTACCTTAATCACCAGCACTCAAAGTCAGCCACCTAACCCGCTGACTTTGTGTGCAGCCTCTTTCTTTCATATTATTATACCGGTAATGAATGACATGACACACCAACAAAATTAATGTCAAAGAATCAGGTGGTCTTTACTTTTTCGAGTAGCAAACATGGTGATCCAAGTAATGGGCACTCGATGCAGTCTGCAACAAATCATCCTGAGGCCTGCATTGTGATGAATTAGTTCTTACAAATCCTAGATTTTAATATTCATATGTTTGAGACAAATTCACAGTAAAATGTTCTTCGCATTCCAGAATTTGAGGTGAATCAGTGGATCACCAAGTATGGATGGGTGCCACAGGATGGGAATGTCATATTTATCATGAATCAAGATGACAGCATCAAAACCAAGAACATCACAGAGAAAATCACCTTTGACAGTAAGTGTGTATAGGCGATACTTTTGAGACACTTTATAAATACCATGCTTTTGAAGACCAGGAAGTGGTCCATAGTATCCCAAGCTTGTCAAGATTTGACAAGATCTATGAATGCTGACTGTGCTATCATGCCCATATCTTGTTGTAGGTTGCTCCTGATTTCTATCACTTGTTGACCCGTGAAGATCCGTGTTAGAATTGATCTTCAGTGACCCATGCTTGTCTTAAAAAGCGACTAAGGGGATCGGGTGGTCAGGCTCGCTGACTTGGTTGACACATGTCATCGTATCCCAATTGTGTAGATCGATGCTCATGCTGTTGATCATTGGATTGACTGGTCCAAACTGGATTATTTACAGACTGCCCCCATATAGTTGGAATATTGCTGAGTACATAAAACTAAACTCCCTCTCTCTATCACTTGTTTGTCTGGTCCAGCCTACATTTACAGTATTCTGTGATATAGAGATATAATACAACTTGGATGTAAAACAACATACTGCCATTGTGCCCAGTTGATTGTTGCTCATGCAGACAAGTATTGGTTGTGTTGGCCAAAATGTGATTAACAGACTGTGACATTGTGAAAATCATTAACTCCTTTTACTTGCTGTTGCAGGTGTTGCTGCCATCATGGCCAGTGCTTTATGATGCATCTTCAGCTGATTCTGCCATCTCATTTATACCTGTACACATTCTGTATTTACCAAACATAATAAAATACTTGAAGGTAGTTTGAAATGTCATTTATCAGTTGCACAATTTGAAGCTGCAATTTCATCACCGCATTTGATGGTTTCAGATGTTAAACTATTGAGCTTAGTTGCGGCCTATTTGTCTGGTGTATTTAATGTTTCTCTGAAATGAAAAATACTTCACATATATGTTCCCATCAATTATATGATGCCCCCATTTGTTCAAGACGTTTGCATCTTATTTCATTTGATATTCACTTCTGTATTGTCCTCCATCACTCTTAGAGCACAGACATATCCATGAGTTCTAAGCAGAGCATATATATATTGAAACGACCCTGTGCAAACAGCACTTTTCACTTTCTACTTGAGGCCAGCAAACTTCTGGCTGAGGCGTCCGCAACTAAAGCCACATTGATGTGTTAGGTAGGAATGACAACAAATGACAAACATCCATTTCAACAAAGTCTTCATTGGTGCTTTGAGCAAACAGATAACATTTAAGTAAATAGCTTTTAACATCACAATGAACATTACACATAAAAAGTAGATTTGATTCTCTGGTCAACTGTCACAATACATACTATATACTGGGACCTGTCACGGCTTTATCCCAATAGGAAGTGTTCTAATAAACTTTAATCAATGGAAACAACACATGATGACAAAACAAAACAATTTAAAAACGATCATGGTTTTATCACCAAACATTTCTTTGTAAGACTGAACTATAGCTGCCTGTTGTATTTGTTAATCCTACACATGTACTTCCTACATATGTTTTGTATTTGCGGCAAGTAATAAAATATATTAAACATTTGTCAGTCAAATCTGGCTGTTAATTGTTTCTGAGTAACACGTCCATCAACTGAAGTTAAATCATGGCATTACTGTATACTGCATGGTTCCTCCAGTAACAGGTTGCTACCCTTGCAAGTAAAGTCACAATTTACCCATTTTGTAGCATAATGTCTTTGAATAACTTCAGCATTCTATCCCTTCTGGAATGACTGCTGCCCTTTATGGTGAACATCCTTCGACTGATTCTTCATAGCATCAGGAATCATCCAGTGTTTTCAACATGTCAAAAAGTTTCTTCTGATTTTCTTCATCTAGACCTTTCATTACCTCCATGGTAAAGCTATTATCTGAAATGTTATTAAAATAATCAATCCACAAGACTATTAACCGTAAAGTCATGCAAAATATAATCCTCTTCAGCAAGAGAAACATGTCTATCAATAGATAAAGGAAAAAAAACAACTCGTTGATCAAGAAGGCCAGCTTGTGTTGTACAGAACAAAAATCTCCACAACTCACAAGCCCAAAGACCTACACCAACAAATCAATTATTTATTTGTGCAGCATGCTGAAATTGCCCCCCAAAAAATTCAGATTACAAAAGCATGATTAACAAGGACCCAAAGGCTGCTCTGGAACAGTGTTTTGTGATATTATGTACTGTCACGCAGGAAACCCTGAAATGTTGGATGTTTACTACTTTATGAGGACCTCATTCTCTTCCCACAGAGGTTACTCCTGTCATATCTTCCTACGTAACCTCTGTTCTAATACGGCCATATTTCCCGGTTCTCTTAAAATCCCCTAGCGGCAAAAGATCGCAAAACGAATTATCTCCCTTCTTTCTATCCAATACATCGACTTAGATTCAACTTGACTAACACAAGCAAATGTGAAGCCACAAATATCCCCCATCTGCCGGGGACTTGTGTTGATGTTACACACAAGACGTTTAATGGCTAGCTTGTCCGTTGTCAACGAGGGCGATGGAGACGCCACTGATCCGCCATAACATGACTGAGTTCTGTCTAGAGAAAACGTTTGCGCATCGCGCAGGGGAAGAGGTTTAGTTTTCTCAAAGTATACGGAAATTACCGAGGCCTTGCGAATGATCACTTTTGAAACAACGTCGCTGATTGCACAACTAAATCTGATTGTCTCCAATCACGAGTCTTGAACGCTCACACCATGAAAGGGCCGTATTAGAACAGAGGTTACGTAGGAAGATATGACAGGAGTAACCTCTGTGGGAAGAGAATGTGAGGACCTATGAGAACAAGTATAATGCTGACAAACCAACAATCATAAGCAGAGATTAAGACCCACCACCACAGAATGGCACAAGTAAGGTGAGGTGAGGTGAGGTGAAATTGGGTTTAACGTCGTGCTTGAGAATATTTCGCTCATATGACGACGTGCATGCATGTGTATGTGTATGTGCGGCTGCTTGTACTAGCCCAGACTAAAGCTGGTTTTATAGTGCTAGCCCACTGAGATACCATGCCGCAGTGAAGCATGAATACCCCACTCAGACACATTATACTGACTCCGAGCCGACCAGTCCTTGTACCCATTAATGCCGAGCGCCAGGCAGGGACCAACAAGTACCATATTTTAACGTCTTTTGGTATGATGTGGTCGGGGATCGAACCCGCGACCTTCCGCTCTCCAGGCGGAAGCTCTAACCACTACACCACGGAGGCGGTCCGCACAAGTAAGGGATTAAACTGCTCAGCAGTGCTTCAGACCAGGTAACACATTCCTGTGTGTGATTAAGTTATCTGCATGTTAGGTCAGTATATCTACTTGTACATACATGTACATGGACTATTGACTTGCACACTGGTCACCAATGAAAGCAAAACATGCTCACCTTTCCCCACTAAGAATTCCGCACAGACTGCTTTCTCACAGAACACTGCTGTTTGTGCCTGGTCAGAGCTCCAACCATTCTTCAGTATAAAATGGTAGGCAGGCCACCATGACTTGCGCTCCTGCCAGCAGTCTTGCACCACAGAGATGTTTAAAGTCAGCTTGCTGGAAGACATATGAACCTTAGTGAGTGAGTTTAGTTTCACGCTGCTTTTAGCAATATTCCAGCAATATTGTGGCAGGAAACACCAGAAATGGGCTTCACACATTGTACCCATGTAAGGAATCGAACCTTGGTCTTCGTCGGGACGAGCGAATGCTTTAACCACTAGGCTACCCCACCTCCCCAATGAAACTCAGGTTTCCACAGATTCACAAGTTGCTTCCCAGATGAGGACTGAATACCCTTTCATTGTTCAACACAGATTAACCTGAACTAACCACACATCTGCTCAGTGGTAAGCATCAGAACCACTAAGAAATGACTTTGGTGATTGTATTCTAGAATGCTAAAGGGATGCAATGTTTATTGTGGCCTGTTTTCTTTTAACAAGGGAAATGCTTCTAGCATTCATTTATACAATGCGAACACCTTTCCAGTTAGGTAAATGGGAGATAAATGTTAAATGTATCCAGGTACTTCTATATGTACACACAAACCTGAAAAAGTACTACACTTTCTGTATCTCTTTTTACATACAGGAATACATACATAATACAGAAATTAATAATGTACCACATGAACTCAAATGCATGAGTAAGTAGCACATATTCCATCCAAAACGTTTTGAAAGTTGTTACCTTGAATATATGTGATGCAAGTATTGCCTAAATTCCTTCCATGGAGTCAAATTGTGTTGCCAGTTACAGTAGTCCAGTAGGTTGAACAGAAGAGACCCGACCGAGTGACAATCTGAGGGATAGCATGTACGTTTATTAATCTTTGTCCTTTGTTTCATTTGAAACTATGAATGACAGTTGCACTGGAAACCCTTTGTCATAACCCTAATGCAAACAAAAATTCTGTCACTAGCATTCAGCTCAACATTTGATACAAGTACTGAGATACTCATGTAGATGTAGTATATTGTAGTATGTAGTTACAAAAATATGAGGAGCATTGTCTGATAACAAAAGACAGATTAACATTCTTACTGGACATTGGTATCAGCAGGAACCATTTCCCAGGTGTGTTTTCATTGTGCTACTGCAACTTTATTAATTTTCTTTCATTTACCTATAGTCTGTTTGCAGTGAAAACGTACAGATGAATTTCACTTCAAACAAAAAAACTAAACGAAATAAAGTGAAATTAAGATTGCAAGTCCTCATCATTTTACCTTGCCAATTGGAAATTTAAGTCTCAGAATCTTATTTAACTTAGGATAAAAGTTGTTTGACAAACGATCATAGATTGAAATTGTTATTATTGGTTTGTATTACAAGAGGGTAAGTGCAGTAGTTGGAACAGTGAAACAAATGCACGTGCGGTACGTGATGAGCGTCAACTTAGACCAACCCTACTTGCTATCGGTGTTTCATTTAATGTGCATACCCCTTGTAATACAAACAAATAAAGTAAACTATGATCGTTTGTTAAACAACTTTTATCCTAAGTTGAATAAAATTCTGAGATTTAAATGTTCAATTGGCAATGTAAAATTATGATGATTCGCAATCTTAATTTCACTTTATTCGCAATCTTAATTTCACTTTATTCGATTTACATTTTTGTTTAAAGTGAAATTCATTGGTACGTTTTCTCAACAGACTATACATATAACTAGCTATATATATGCTACACACAAATATGTAAGACATACCATTTAAAAGGTGACACAACTTTAAAATGAGAGCATTTGATGGGTCCCTCTTAGCAAGTCCCTGAAACAAGAAAGATAGAACTATGAAATATCAATAGATCAATTAAAAGTGCAATCTTCAGCAAAAGGTAAGCCATTCCAACATGACTCTCTATTTATAACAGAGATGCCAACCCTGAATCTAAGGAAAACGGAGTCATGACTGGCTGAAACGCAGGCCTGAGCACCAAAGGTGCGAGTTGGGGGTGAGCGCGTGGTCGGCTCTGCCCTTTTGTTTCACTTTCATACGGACTATGACATACATTCGGAAAAACTTTGTGAAACTTCATCGCCGATAACACGCAATATACACAATCAACACCCAAAGGATCACAAGCTAAGCTTCTGAAAGCTTGTACCAGTGTTTACTCAAATAAATCTCCGGTGACCATTGTATATGGTAAAAATAAATTCAGAGTTTTTAAAGAGAAATCGGAGAGCAGATTTCGTATTTCAAAATCGGAGTAACTCCGCCAAAATCGGAGTGGTTGGCATCTCTGTTATAAGGATACTAGACCATCTCTAAGGGCAAATACAAACATTTTGAGAGACTCTGTATAGTGAATCAACTTCATGTTTAGATTATTATGAATAACAGTAAACTAAGATGAAAATAATTGTATATGGAACAAAGGGTGCCAGAGCTTCTGCCTTATACTCAGTCGCCTTACTTAATGTACATGAAATGGGATTATTGCACTTATATTGTGATGAGTGTGTGTACATGCTTGCATGCATTCAAGTACAGCCAACTCAGTTATACCACACTGACTCTGAGCTGACCAGTCCTTTATCCCCTGAATGCTGAGTGCCAGGCAGGGTACCATCTTTTAATGTCTTTTTCATACGACATGAGCTGAGGATCAAATCATTCCTCTCACCTGGCAGATGTTCTATACCCAACACTGGTTCTCCCCTTACCTTAAGGCACTTTATCTTGTCTTCATCTGAAGCGCCATGTTTGACATAGAAGTCGTAGATGTATCGGTGAGAGTTGGGGTTGTCTGGGTTCTGGTCCCTGTATCTGGTTAGTACACTCAGGGCAGCATCCTTCCCCTCAATCTCCTCCTTCATCTGTAGGAAATAGCAACATGGACACTAGTCATATACTGATATGTGTATGTACTTGGACCAGCTTGAGTGTGTGAATGAGTTCGTAGGGGTGATTATTGTGGAGGAAACAACTGTTGTGATAGCTGTTGCAACAACTGAACATACTATTGCGATAATGATAGTCTATTGCAATAGTTTTTTCTCTCCTTGAATTGTCTCATTTGAAGTCACTTCTCAAATGAATGTATAGTTTATATGAAATAAAAACAAGTTGAAGTAGTTTCAGTCTCTTTTAATAACTGACAAGAAACTTGAAACCCAGATCAAGTAAACAGTTTAAACATAAACTCAATGAAGCAGGGACGGATAACTCTAAATCAAAGTGAACAAATCTTGTACTTTTGCACTGAGCATTTATGAACAGAAGTGTTCGTGAGAGAACATGATGAATTGTTGAGACAGTAATCAATTACTAAACAATTGATAGTTTTTCGTTTCTACCATCTATTAATTGCTATCAGAGACTCAACAATTGCAATCCATCGATAGTTTGATGCATCATTACAGCCCTGTGAGTTTGGTTTTTATGCCACTCTTAACAATGTTCCAGCAGTGTGGCAGGGGACATCGGAAATGGGCTTCACACCTTGTAACCATGTGGGGAATCAAACTCGGGTCTTCTGTGCGACAAGAGAACGTTTTAACCACTGGGCTACCCCCAACCCCAGGGTTTTACATGACATGTGATTCCTGTGTATTTGACGCAACAATTTTGTTAACGACTCTGAAAATACTATCATTCAAGTCAATAATTCATTTCATAACGACTGCTTACATTTCATAAAAGAGGTGTTCTGTTGATACCTGTACGAGTTTGACAATGAAAGTGTCCCACACCCCCGGCTGGTCACACAAATCGTCCATCAGCTTTATGGCCTTCTTGGCGTGGTGAACTATCCTCATCTCATCATAGTTAGCTTGGGATGACGACTGCCACATCATAGCTGCACATAAAGTCAGAGTTACTTGAGGTTGCTTGAAATAGCTGTTTGCATGTTAGTAGAATGCTTATGTTGTATGATTTGATATGCTGGTACTAGTCTGAACTATCAATGTAGGTTTTGTAGTGCCTGCCCACTTAGATACTATGCTACAATTTAACATTTACAACCCATTTGGATACATCTGTTGGTAAGACATTTTGAGACTGACTGACTGAGTTTGGTTTTACGCCACTTTTAGCAATATTCCAGCAACATCACGGCGGGGGACACCAGAAATGGGCTTCACGCATTGTGCCCATGTGGGGATTCGAACCCGGGTCTTCGGCGTGACGAGCCAACGCTTTAACCATTAGGCTACCCCACTGCCCCAGACATTTTCGGAGATTAAAATAAAGACTTTCAAAGATGTTATCAAGGCACATCTTTACGAAAGTGGATTACAAATTCCTGGTGTCTAATTTTTGCTGCCATGAAAATAGGTCCTTTAATCTACTGATAGTTTGTATCCATTTGGTCATATCTTGATGAATGTTTGTTCTGAAGTTTTGTTCCTGCTAAGTTCATGACACATGGAAGAGAAAGGTACAACCATACACATGTCAATATTAGGAGCAGTTGCTGGAAACTAGGATCTAAAGACAAAGGGAAGATGGTTCTGATGAAAGTTGCTTTAAAAGTATCTCGCATAGTGATGTGTCTGTCATAGACTCGAAAGCTGACTTACAACCGGAAAATCCAAGGGAGACAACTCTGTATAGTTTGAGATGCATGAGATCTCTTGTGAAACATGGGTCATGATTTTATTTTCCTTTAAAAAAAAACTATCATAAATATAATATCTAGACGATTTTATAAAACCTTCATGGAAAATGTGTGTACAATTTAAAATATGCTAAGAGATATATCATTTATCTTTGATATCCAGACATATCTCTTGACATAATGACAATGACATCTTGACAAATTTCCTATTTGGTGAAAGGAAGATTAATATTGTACACACTAAGTTAAGACATTCGTGTAGTTCTTTAAATGCTGATCTTTTCCGTGTCAATTTATCTGAAAGTAAAGCTTGCCTTTGTGGTGCTCCAGTGGAAGATGCCAATCATTTCTTATTAAAAGGTCCAAAGTCAGTCAGCTGCAGGTCTGATTTGATACAAGGCTTTGTAATCCTAAAAGTTAGTTTAGATCTTAAAACCATTCTGTATGGCAGCCTTAGTCTGCCACAAACTATAAATGAAAATAATTTCAGTCAAGTCCATAAATTCATTGTACTTAGTAAGCGTTTCAATTAATGTCTTGCCTCTGTTCATTGTCCATTACATGTATTTTTTTCTTTCCATGTACTAGTAATTATCGGGAGAGGGCTTTAATAGGTTGAATAACTTGTGCCCAATCCCTTTCAATTCTGAATAAAATATGTTCAAACAAACAAACATAATGATGCATGTAATCACCTTCTGTATCTTTCCCTTGCATGTCATGTTTCAGCTGCAACCACTCAATGTAATATACCAGCCCCTTTGTAGGCTTTGTAGACAAAGGGAGGGTGAGATGGCAGGTTCATTGTTCTTTCAAAGCCATGTCTTCTATCCTAAACACAGATCAGTCTAAGTAAACTTAGGCTCAGTATTATTCATTACACTGCTATACTAGACCGCCCGACCGCCCCAGACGGGCTAGATTTCTCACAGATGGTCTAAATTTACAGCAAGCCAGCCCGATGGTCTGGCAAATTTTTTAAGATGTCCCATACATCTGAGTAAATTCACCATATCTTGGTGTCTGGTCTGGTTAAATACATTTTGGGCTGGTAACATTTTGAAGTTTTGATGTCTGGCTGGATTTTTGGCTTATTTCATACACTGGCTATACTGAGTCTAACAAAACCTAGTAGAAGGTCACGTCAGCTAACCTTTTGGACTGACCAATCAGAACACAGCTTACCAAATCGCGAAAGTTAACATTTGCACATACCGTTTGAACCTTTACCTAAAAAACTCAAACGATTCCGAATGCTATTTTCCGCACGATCGCTTCCGAGTGATACATGCAATGAGTAAACAGTGGCTGAAAATCCCATTTTTGTCAATATTCAAGGATGTCATCTTGCAGAAATATAAGCTAATAGTAACCATGTCATTAGAAACCCCTAAGCGTATATACTGCAGGTCAAATATCTGTGTTTAATGCGCAATTTCGTTTGTTGCTAGATCAGTGTCAGCGACCAGGGAAGAGAAAATCCAAAAATCGTTTTGTAAGTCCCACTGTACCCTAACAAGTAGTTGTTGTCTGATTGGTTAAATCCGTCCGACCGTCTCGCGTTTGATTGGATGGTCAAAGGTCGCTAAAAGGTTAGCTGACTGCGAGCTTCTACTAGGTTTTGTTAGACTCAGTATAGCAGTGTTACGAATAATACTGAGCCTAAGTTTACTTAGACTGAAACACAGATATATAGGTAGGATCACAATCAATGGTAGGAGTTGATAAGTAGCAGATTGTCATTTCTGAAGCACCTTTGGTAGAACTTGTGTGTCTTGACTAGAGAATCCAGTGATTGATATCATGAGTAAAGATCTACCCCAAACAAATCCTGTCACCTCTTCACTCAGTCTTTTAACCACAGGTTTCCACCACTGATGGCAAGCAATGGGGTTATGGCGACAAGTTAACACTTGTCCTCTTTGGTTATTTCAGAATCCAGTAAGGATAACAAAGAGTTCCCGGGGAACACAAGATTAATGACACGATGACTTCATCATATCAAGTCACAGGCCATCGTGATAATGATGTAGACTAGAAACCTTGAGTCTGGAGGTAGTTGCAGCATCTGCTACTCTCCCCTGCTGCAACAGGTACATCACATACTCAAGTATCATATCCTCGGCATGCAAGTCCTTGAAATGTTTCAGCTGCCTGAAACATATACATCTACAATGAGGGATGTCATGATTGAAAATGTTAGTAGGGATATACATATAAACTTTTACTGAATACAGCACTATAAGTGAGGACGAATTTTCACACTATTCACATACTGTTACAATGTGCATTGCCTATGCAATGTTATGCTTAAAATACACAATTTACAGGATATTAAGTTACGTATCCAGTGCCTGATTTGAAGTGACAATAATTAATCTGCCTTAGTGACATTTCAAAGTAAGATGTTTCTTATTGGTACCTGTCAATATCCACCATAAGAAGTAATTTGCAATATGGTCAACTATAAACGAACCTGAAAAACTGTGCTATGAAAATGTCATTTTCTTTAGAGTTGCTGTACATCACTGCCTGGAACAACGAAAATCCACTTTCTTTAGAGTTGCTGTAAAATACATCACTTGAAATATTTATTGTTAGCCATTCCTGCCTGGAACAACAGAAAATCTCTGACTGAATGTGTTGAGCATTGTTTGTATAGGATATGTGATTTTTATGAAATCATTTCCATTATATTTAAGTTGGTTTTGATTAGGTATGGCATAAGGCAGAATATACCTGCTTAGTAAACTTAGTCACATAATACTTAGGTGAGTAAATTCACTGAAATAGTAATGGAAAATGAAATACCCACTCAACATTCATAATACCTACATGCTGCACTCAGCAGCATTAAATGTAACTGCAGCTGTATGATTTGAGCCTGTAAATGATTAAGTCTGGACCAGATAATCCACTGACCTGTATAAGCAAAGATCCACATTATCTGGTGAGTGAGCGAGTATGGTTTTACACTGTTTTAGCAATATTCCAGCAATATCATGGGGGATACACATGGGGAGAAACGGGCTTCACACATTGTATCCACATGGGGAATCATCAACCAAGTCAACCTGGTTTCAGCATGACGAGAGGACACTTTAACCATTCGGTACTACCCTACATTAACTTCAGTACAAATGAACTTGTTGATATGACATCAACCAAGTCAACAAGCCTGGTCACCAGCATGACATCCATTCTGCCCGCCAACACTGACTCTGACGTCCGGCTCTGTGGAACAGGTTCTAACCCAGAGGAATCCCCATGGGTCTCCAACACAGCTACCTCTTGTTGAACATTATGATGCTTGTGACACCCATGCGGGTCATCACGAGGGGAAATGAAAGTGAGGGATATTTGTATGTAAAGTGCAAACCATACTGAAACATATGGTACATCACCAAGTCAGGAACCACTGCCATGGATCCTACAAACAAGGGTATAATTTAGTCATGTTTGTACTCAGCGCTCCTGTCAAAGGTCGTTTTCATGCTCTGTACCTGTATAATGGGCCCGTGGACCTTGTACGTGAATAAAGACATTACACATCACCTACAGCAAGGGTAAGTGCATCCTCGATAATCTCCAGGGTATACGTTACGATCACTCTCCACTATACCCTGGATGCATCCACGGCTTGGGGCGATGATTTTATTACCTCCCTTGGCTGGCTCCACATTCTCACAGTAGCCAATCAGCTAAGCCGCCGTTACAACCGAGCTTGCCAGTGTCAACAAAGATTGCGGTCGCAGTTGCAAAGGTTTGTTCGCAGTGCCACTCAGATTTTTGGGAAATAATAAAGACAAATTCACACATCTGAAACTTTAAAAAGAATATATGAAAGAACTCCTTCTACTTCTTTCAGAGTACCTCTGCACCAATTGTGTTGCGTAGTTTAAACGGTTAGATACTTTAAGACGCGAAAGTGAGTAGTGATTGGTACGCTCAACTTCCCAGCGTAGGCACCTGACTGGATAAAAAGCCAGCAAAGGGAGGTAATAAAATCATCGCCCCAAGCCGTGGATGCATCCAGGGTATAGTGGAGAGTGATCGTAACGTATACCCTGGAGATTATCGAGGATGGGGTAAGTGTGGAACTGTGTAAAACACACAGCTACAGCTCATACCACTTGGAATCCAACACCTCTTCCTCCCCGCTCCTTGATATGAAGAAAGTGTGAATACAAGAAGAACACTTAAACCCATCTGGATGAAAGTTATGTACATGTTTGTCCTATAACATATTAATTTTTTTAAAAGTTTGTAGAGGACACTTGGGAAAAATATGTACCTTCCAAATGGTCTGCGATGTTCCTTTGGGTTCGTAAGCCAGAGCTTGCAGTATTTTCACAGCTCCAAGCCAGTGGTGGGTCAGGAAACACTCCTGCAGCAGTTTGAAGAATTGGGGGACAATATACGTGTGTCCTTTGGCTTTAGCTTGGTAGTCTAATCCAGATGCTGCAACATAGAAGGTATTCAAGTGCTCCAGAAAATAACCCATCCACTTGCGAGTTGCAGAAAATGTTGATTGCATGAAGAACAAGAATGAGAATTGAGAAAATTGCCAAAAAAGTAATTATAACAAAGAAAGAATCAATTCAGCTGATTACTTGTTCAATGACAGTAAAGATACAGATCACCATATATATCATGTCATACCAGTGTTGTAATAGTCTTAGGTTAGATGTCAGTCTCTGAAATGGTATCACAAGTATTGATTACTGAAGTTCTCTAATCTTTAGCTTTGTGAGGCCGAAATCTGTTCGTAAAAATACTTCATGATTATTCTCACTTGTCATCTTGAAATCTTCATTCAGCTGAAAAAAACCATTGTTTGACAGACTCTTCATTTACTTCTTCATCCAGTGCTATGTAGCGATTGTGAGTGCTCTTTGTAATCAACACCAACAGTTCCTCCTGCATAAACCATACACAAGATATACACAGCAATAAGAAGTTAGACATACTAACATTCTACTTTAGAGGACACTTTTCATAGTGAAGACGGAGTTCACCATTTCATAAAAATATTCAGAAACATATTACCCATCAAAAGTTTAGACTCACTAGTGTAAATGTAGCCACTTAATTCAGTCAACTGACTGACTGAGTTTAGATTTACGCCGCTTAGCTTTAGCAATATTCCAGCAATATCATGGCGGGGTCACCAGAAATGGGCTTCACACATTGTGCCCATATCGAACTCGGGTCTTCGGCGTGACGAGCCAATGCTTTAACCACTAGGCTACCCCATCGCCCCTCAGTCAACTATTCTAAACTAGATTTTGCAAAATATTCCATACTGTTTAAATGTACTGTTTACACATGAACTGATGTATTGTAAAACAAATTAGTAACAATGAAAAGATTATTGTAATGAGTTTAATAAATGATGAAACTCTGTGAATATTGGCGAATTCTTAACAAACATTTACCCCAAAATGCAGCTGTTCACATGCATGATATTTGCACATTCTTTTCAGCAATTTGATGCATGCTCCTCATGCAGTTCATCTGCATAAGGTTTGCAGTTAGTTCTCCCAAGTTAGTGGAGAAACTCATCTTCGATGTAACCGTATATATATGTACATAACATATAGCCAGTGCTTTAAGTGAGTCTAAACTTTTGATGGGTAGTATATATTCATGATTCCTTTAATTTTGATTGTTCAGTAAATATATTGTGAAACTACACACTACAGTTTTTATCATGGAATAATGATCAGAGAGATGCATGTTATCGACATATAAATTAATTTGGTGAAGTCCAGTTTTGATGGTTTGTACGTGTGATCCCTTTACTAACAGCTAGAATATGTGACACCCATGATGCTTAACAACACAAATGGAGTCTTCCCCCATCTATTTTCTTACTGAGACTTGATTGGTTATGATTTTAACACAAACCACTATGTGACTGCAGCTGAAGGGTCAAAACATTGAGGTATCATATAGCATTAAAGGGGAGACAATTTCTCATCTTATTTTATGAGCGCTTTCGTATGTATTACCAGAAAACACATATTATAAATAAATATTACATGGTCTTTGTCATCGCTAACCTGAAAGTAATATGTAATGTAATGTTTCTGATTCTTTGAGGTTCTCTTCTTGTATCTATTTAGGCAGTAAATTCTTCAATATTGGAAACCAACGAGATGAATTTTATACTTCTGATTAATTCACATATTCAAACATTGGTACCGTGAATGACAATAGTATTTAGTACATTCGTGACTTGTACACACGTACCAAACGTAACAATGAATCTGACATGTCGTCATCATCATCCATGACGCCACCTAAACGCTGGGTAAACAGTTAAATACAAGCAGACAGCACTTCCTCCACGTGGAAGAAATGTACTACTATACCAACAACGCATGTTATTGTGTACAATAGTTAAAGATTTAATTTAAAACCCCACAAACAATAGTCTTATATGGAATACAAAATACATTTCCTGACTCTTTATACATTTGATATTTTCATATATAGGATAAATTGATTACTTTGTGCAAATAGGCATTAGATTATAGGCATGCATAATGTTATTAGTTGTGTTTCTACTAGTACTATAGATATCGTGTCTCCAGTCACACAAGATCGTTTTGTTCGTACGAGTGACACCTCATCGTTTAGAATCACTCGGGGGTATATTTTCATCCTTATTTTCTGTAAGTATATGATTTATTGCTTAATTAACTTTGACAAAGTGGTGATTTATTACTCCTACAGAAGTGATCAGATACGACCGAGGAAGTAGTCATGAATAACACCGAAGGTGCAGAGAAGTCAACAAGTCACTTACTTCCATATGGATCACCGGCATCGAATCTGCCTTACGGTGTTTTAGAATTTTGAAAGAGGATACGTAGAAATCCAAATACAAGACAATTCCGAAATAAATCAACTGCTATGTACTATTTAACTGTTCAATATTTTCGGACATAAATCATGCAATCAAAATGGCCTTTTTGTTAACCATTTCAAATCCTTTGAATTGGACATTTGAAAGAGATATGGAGAATATTTGGAAGATCTCTGCATCCACTACACAGTTGCAACATACAATATCTACAACACATAGTTTCTTATGTTTTACTCAATTTTATGCAAACACCAATTAGCATCAGCAGCCCAAAACTATACATTCACCTTACACACCATAATCACTGAAAAATTATATGTTCAGCAAAAGTTTGAATTTGAAAACATCCAGTAAATATGAATAATTTTGTTATCAATATATTTACAATTAAAAGGAGTATTTCACATGTATCCTACATGCACAACCCATTGATTCCAGGTCGACATGCCAATGAATCTTGTCAGAAGAACATTTATCAGTAATGGCTTGAACATAACAACTATGGCTTTAAATGCATGATGTTATAAGTTACATAACATTGATTACTTGTTGTGTCTTGGATGAATAACGGACTGGGAATTGGAATCACATGTTAATGCATGACAGGCGATGCCATAGTCAGGCCAATCCCAGATGCCCTTACATAACATTGATTGACTGCTTTGTCAAAGTTTTGAATTTACTGCTTAAAGTTTTAATTTCCTTTTTGCCAAATGGCACATACCATATTATCTTGAGTGTAGAGCACCATGAAAACCCTTTCTTTCCCCCTAAACAGACCTGTGCTGATAGGTTGTGCTTGACATGGTGAGTTTTGATGTTTTCTTCCCAATGCAAAGACATTACTATGAGCATGTTCCACTGGAAATACCATGTAGACAATTGCGTACTGAAGTACTCAATTTATAGTCTGTTTGCTGCCAATCTGCCAATGAAATGGCTAATAAATATACATTCGAAAACAACAAATCGTCATAAATAACATGAAAGTTTAATTTGTCCAAACCAACTTGTCACTATAATTTCTGACACTGGCATGAAGAAGGGGAAATGTTGTTTAACAAATGGTTTTGTAAATGCATAATTTGAACTGTAGTCATGGATTCCATGGTTGATGCTTTCATGATGGCAAAGTAATGATTAATATCCTATGGTAGATTTATTCCATATTATTTTGTTTTCAGGAGGTTTTCAACATGAAGATTCTTTTCCTTTTGGCTTTCCTTGCTGCAACAGCAAATGCTCACATGAATGAGCAAAGGTTTGCTCCAGGCGTGCCCCCACCACAGCAGCAGCAACAACACCATCAACAGCAACCTCCCCAGCAACAACAACAGTATCAGCAGCAACCTCCACAACAACAGCAACAACAGTATCAGCAGCCACCACAACAGGAGCAACAACAGTATCAACAGCAGCAGCCACCACCACAGCAACAACAATATCAGCAGCAGCCACCACCACAGCAGCAACAGCAGTTTCAACAGCAGCAAGTTAATCAGATGAATCAGCAACAGGTGCCCCCTCCACAGGGAGGTGCACAGCCTGTCCATGGTGGACACGGCCATGGCCATGGGGACACAATGAAGTTCAGCTCTGACATCCATAATGCAGAGTAAGCTCTTACTTGGTTTATAGTAATTACATGAAATGAAATTACACAAGAACATGTAAATAGTATAGTCTGTAGGATAGGTCAACATAAGCAACAGTAATAATATACAAAATGATTAATTTTACGACCAGTCCTATTAGCCTTGATTTGTGGTATGTATGTACTGGGAAGCAATGGTTACAATTAAAACACATAATTTCTCTTATACCATTTATGTTAAAGGCACTACATCACACCACACTTTTTTATAAATAATAAATTTCTGTCAATAATACTAACTATCAGCCCTCTGAGAAGATACCATATAATTTATTCCCCAAAACATTTACGTATTTAGATTACAATGTTAAATTATGATAAAAATTCGAATGAATTAATGCAATGTTGCATTAAATCAACTCTCACACCCTCTACTGGCCGAACATTATTTCAAGCAAACCAAATAGAATCCCTTGGAACACTCTTCATTAATATCCCACGCACAACTTGATTGAAACCAGTTTGGCAAACACCAACAACACCGCGTGCAACAGTTTTTGATGTACGGAGCAATTGTTTACATTCCATGTATGGCAAGTGTTCTTTGTTTGGAAGCTGTTCCCCTCGAAGTTTCAATTATCGATTTCAGTCAAGTCGTAAGGGATAATAAGTCTTTTATTGCATCAATAGGAAGCTAAAGTGAGTGCATCTGCCCCAATATATATAATTTAGACAAAATATTGTCGAAAATGTATGATGTTGTACCTTTAAGGATTACAGAGATGGAACATTTCCTTTGATACTGCTAATTGTCTTTTCATCAGAAATATAAAAAAGACTGTCCTCATTATTTAACTATTTTTCACATTTAACCAAAGAAAAAAGCAAACACGATTATTTGAAACTTCAGAATGTCATACTAACCGCACTGGATGACAATTCATTTGACACGCTACAGATATTTTACCCTGTATCATGTATGCTTGTTATAAGTAATATCAGCTCATCCAACTCCAATATGAAGAAGAAATAGGTTGAATGTAGTTTATGGCTGTTCTATTGTCCAAAGCTATGTGACCATGACAACATCAGGATATTTACCGATGCGAGACAAACATGTTGCAATCTTGTCATCTTGTAACATCTGCTCTTTTGGATTTGCTGATGTTGTTAGGCATTGGCAATACTCATAAATCTCTATGTACATGCATTTTATTTGCTTTGTTGCTTATAATTTTCAGCTAATTGCCAGATAGATTGTGTTACTGAAGTGACTTGTGTTTATGTGCTGGTTATCTGTCTTGTTCTGTTGTTTCTACTGCTCAGAACCAGCAGATGACTAGTGACCTATCAGATAATACACTCTCCTGATATATATTCGGGCCATCCAGTATTTACTCATGTTATTATTCAGATGTGGTTATTTATTATTTTTGTCTCGGTAATCAATATATTTGTACTTCCTTTTGTACAGTCTGTTGGGTAGCCCCAGTGATTTTCAAAGCCGAATGTCTACATGGCAATGTGTGAAGCCCATTTCTGGTGTCCCCAGCCGTGATGTTGCTGGAATATTGCTAAGAATGAAAACTTGTTCTTCTTATAACTTTTATAATGCTATTTTATGGGACATCTGATTTACATTAAGGGAGACCTAGCACTTTGACCTATTGTTAACTGCTGTAGAGCCTGCATTTGATATTGGAATGAAGGTCTGTATGACAGTATGGGCTGACAAACTTAACTAGTCTGTCTCACAGTCTCTGAATCACAATGTTTTTCCTTCTGCCTAGCCTTTTCTGCAATGCTAAATGCCTAAATGAAGCAAGTCTAGATCTCCTCAGGTTTGATCTCCCTTCTCACTGGGGCTCTTTTTGGATTTAAAATACATTGTTTGTTTCTATCAAAGTCATATATATCCAGACACTACCGTAAGCTTTAGTCTAAAACAGACTACTCTTGGTAATTGTGTGCAGTGTTGTTATACTATTGGGTTTTCATCAGACAAGTATTTGTGTGACAAGAAATTCAAAATAATACATAGGTCTGAGGTATTGTAACACAAGTTAGAATGAGCTCTTAAATGTAAAAGGCTGTGTTTCTCTATTCATCACATCTGCTGTCACTACAACGAATATGTTCTACTTGAAGAGCAGTGATTAGTCTGCTGTTTTAAACGGGGCAGTAGGGTAGCCTAGTGGTTAAAGGGTTTGTTTGTCACACTGAAGATCCAGGTTTGATTCTCACAAAGGAACAATGTGTGAAGCCTATTTCTGGTGTCATGATTTTGCTGGACATGTTTAAAGCAGGGTAAAGACTCACTCACTCACTCACACATATATTTTCAGTATGTCATAAGGTGTTCTGATCCTGTTTCATTCCGTTGATAGAACAAACTTGCCCTTGCTGCTTTTGTTCTTATTAGGTATTAGATTTCTATGTGGCTAGAATTCAGAGACAGCAACAAAACCTGCTGTTATGTATAGAATTTGAAATCAAGCAGTAAAATCTAGAGTTTTGTGAAATATATTATCAACCACTTTTGTGACATTTCTTTTCCCATGTGAGAATTAAAGGGAAACTATGACCCCAGTAACCGATCAATAGTGTGAAAGCAGCTGGACACTAGTTGGTTAACAAATGGTTAAAACATCTGACCTTTCTGTGAACATTGTTGTGTGGTTTTGATTACTTTCTCATGTTATTGATTACTTTCTGGTGTCTCCTGTGATGTTGCTGGAATGCTAAAAGCGTAAAACCAAACTCAGTCAGTCAGTCAGTTGGTGATAATAAGCCATGTATCTGATCTATATTATTGCTAAATGTTATTTCATGTATGGGTTGACATTTTGTCAGTTTTTGGAAATGTGTTGTTTGGTGTTGTGAAGTGAATGTATGGTTTCATTTTTCCTTGGCATCACAGATGGCCATATTCCAACATAATGATAATTGATTCTGGGCCAGGCATCGTCCTAGTTGTCAGCTGTATTGTCAATGAGCCACACCGTAAGGGCACGATGACACGTTGTCAGCCAGGTTACACAAACCCTAACAAGATCACAATTGTCATGTTGATGTTAATGATATAATAGTTGGACTGAAAGTGAGGATTTTCTTGAGACAGGTGACTGAAACAGTATTTCACTTATAGCTGATATAGAGAAAGACATTTTATTGTTTCATTTTCCCTTTTTGTACTGAATTATAAAGGAGTCAAAATACTTCTTAATTTAAGAAATTAAAAACTTTTAAAAAATTGAAATTTTGAAAAAAATAACACTTTTCCATATCAAACAGCTAGTAGTCCAGTCATCCTAGCTCATATATAACTATTATTTCAATTCAAGTACATGTTGAACAACAGACAGTATGAAAGTATTTACCGTATTTACCCTATTACACAAACTTTAACTACTATAATATGATTCTCAGAAAATGTAGTAGGTACACTCACATAACACATACGGTAATTTGTTAAGAATCTAATTACTGACTGGAATCAAATGTGTTTAAAAAAACCTCAAATGATGCTGTGAAACGTTTTGCATTACTGGCTCTAAACAGTGTTGTTAAAGGGGGCAATTCGAGGGGAGTCAGGGGAGGTAACTCGTGTATTGTGTGAAATATATGTTTTCACCAATTCTTCAAATTATTTAATATTCAAAACCTACATATTGTTAGAATAGCCTCATAGTTCATTACACTTTTCTGTCTTATCACGCCGTAGCAAGCAAGTAATAACAAGCTGATAGGGTCTATAATTTGATTAATAGACCCATGGTATGTAGCATCCTTGGTCTCTGTTGATCAAAGGTTTGTGGCGGCGGATTTCGATGGCTTCCAAAAGTTTTTTTTTGTGAAGTCCTGATTCTTGGTTGATAGGATTTCGAATATGTCAAACTTGATTTGATGGGTAGGACATTTCTGTTGGTGATCTTAGAGGGCTGATTTGCTGTCTGCTTTGCCTGTTGAGGTTTTATGTTCTTTTATGCGTGTATCAACGAGGCGGGAGGTTTTCCCTATATAGTACTAACCACATTCACAATTAATCTTGTAGATGACTCCTTTTGGGGTTTGATTTTTCGTGGGTGGTTTACGGCCATTGGCTTGGAGGATGGTCCTGAGGGTTGGCGAACCAGTGAAAATACAGTTGTATGCTTAATATTTGACTCACCAACTTCTAGAATGCTGATCATTCAATTAGATGATTGTTTTTTTAACAAAGTGGATCAAGTCAGAGTTAAACGAAACTGAACATGTTTGTCTAATTAATTAGGTGAATTTAATTCCAATTACCGCAAACTAATTAATCTCCATACGTACATTTTTACTATTTGAAGTATATTTATCATTTTTTAAACGATACCAAGTTGAAATCACTGATATTACAAAACGACAAACCACTATTAAAAAAAAGGACTGTGAATTTTAATAACAGGTGTATTGGCAACACACACTTAGTCATTTCCTTCAAGTAGCAACAACAAGTACATTGAGTATGAATGAAGGAATAAAGTGTCCAGTATTCGATCACAGGTGTAAAAAAATAACACATGCGTTCAGTATCTGGAATGTCCACCATGGGCATCAATGCAAACCCTAACTCTACGATGTGCTGAGAACGTCGGACCTTGGGCAGGGATCCTTCGCCAATCCTCTTGAAGGGCTTTGACAAGCTGACGTCGGTTTCCAGGAACAATGGCTCTAGCACGAATCTGATGATCCAAATGGTCCCACAATAGGTGACATATCAGATGACCTGGAGGGCCAAGGAAGCACACTGACGTTGTTTCTATGTAGAAAATCCATGACAATACGTGCTGTATGAGGACGGGCGTTGTCCTGCTGGAACTTGATCCGGTTACAACATTGACGTAGGAATGGTAGCACAATAGGACGCAGAATTTGATCAATGTATCGTTGCGCAGTGATATTACCATCCACCTAAACAAGATCTGTCTTCATACCGTCACATACTGTATGTCGCCCCAAACCATGACCCTGCCGCCACTAAACGGTTCCACTTCCTGTACACAGCAACGTTGCACACCTTCTCCACGGCGTCTGTAGCCACTAGCCCTGCCATCATTTCTGAACAGCGGGAACCTGCTTTCGTCATCATTCTCTGCCTCTGTCTGTTTTGCCACTGGGGAACCGTGCGTGCCCATCAAAGACATTGATGTTGAAATGTCAGCCGGACACCACGGTAAAGGGTCTGTAGGCGCTGATTTTGTATTGTCTGAGTCGTCGTGCTGCTGTTTGTCGACTGATAAGATTTCCAAGCCCAGTCGCTGCTGATGACTTCACATGTAGGAAACGGTTTTAAGGTGCAGGATACGTAAGTAGCGGTATTCGTTGGGGGTGGTGACGCAAGGTCTTCCACTCCTGTCTACTGTCCGCCCTTTTCGCCTGTAGCGGGTCATCAGCCTCGTGATGGTTAGACATGTACAGCCCAAGGTTGCTGCAACATTTGCATGAGTGGCACCCATCTGTACCATTCCAATGTTTCTCTCTCTCTCTCTGGATTCCTGCAATTATTGGGGCATGGTCGCCGAAGTCGACCTGAAGGTCTGATGTCGAGGAAGGTTTGTGTGCACTTTTATACCGAAAAGATGCACATGCTACATGCAATCTGTTCACGAAATCTCCGTGCTTTACGACCTGTTGCAGCGATATTGTTCGCCCAAACACAACATTTTTCATGACAAATGTTAAGGAAGTGTTGTGGCGTGTGTTTTAAGCTCATAACTATCTACAAAATTTTAGTTCGAGCCGAAAATTATTAAGTTAAATTTTGGTATCGTTTCTTTTGCCCGTTAGTTTATTATTACGTAAAGGACTTTTTCCCGCCATGACTCATCAGTGCAGCTTGGCTTTCCGTTCTACGGGAAACTGCAAACGTGAACATTGCTAAATCATCAATTTCAATGATTAAATAACATTATTTATGTTTCTCTGATGTAAAATTCATAATTAATTATCACTACAGTTTAATGTTTTACATAATAATAAAAAATGGGTACGAGTTCACTCATCGTTTTAGGTACAAATTCACCACATTCAGCACCAATGAATGGCTTCACTGGTCGTTGTTTTTCTTTTCAAATGAATGTGCATAATTCACATCACATAAAGTCATCAAATTAACATCTTATTCATGTTTTATTCATGTAATAATACCGGAGATGTGCAAACAGGAAGATCACCTCGAATTTTCTTTCCATAAAAAATACCCCACACGAACTCTCCGTGTATCAGAAGTTAAGTATTTTTTGTGGAAATATTTAAATGTTCCCTCAGTGCTTTATAGTATATCTGCTCATGCACTGTACCGAAAAAATATCGCATAAAACTAGTCTAAAACAGTTTAATTTGAGAAAGGTAATGGTCTTAATAGGCTTCCATAGTTTGAAAATTCAAACAAAGTAAGTATATGCTAACATTTGAGATTATACGGGATGTCTTGATAAAGAATAAAGCTTTTTTAAACTTTACTAACAATTAGAAAGTAACAACATGTCAAATTATGTCTGACTGTTTGTTTTTGCGTGGGTTTTCAGCAACATTTCTACTGTGTATCATGAATGTTGAATGGAGTCAGCAGCTCGAAGTGAACTATCGCTCAGTGCCCACTATGTCAATGATTATCGGCCTTGAGTGATACATGTAAATGTATAAAAACATTAATGATGTCAATTAACCCTGTGTGAAAACAATTACCCTAATTGAGCCAGCGACGATACACTGATTGGTCATCTTGTTTATGTGATGCAATCTACGGAAACACAGCGAGTGACAGCGGCCATCTGTATTTCCATATCAGATGTACGCGATTTGACATTACAAAAACATTTGACTTTTTTTTTGAACAAAATCGTTCATGATACTTTTCTATGCTTTTGATATGTTAAAAGTACACAAGTTACTTACTTGTTTCAGCAAAAATTGTTTTTATTGCAATTTGTTCTACCCCTTTGCCAGTATTACTGGACTATAGGAAAACCAACTAAAGTCTCTGACATGCTCAGAGGCAAATATTAGTAGCCAAAGTATTTCTGAAAATATTCTTGACTTGGGTTGTTATCAGGTTAACACTTGTTAGGGCTGGATATTGCCCTGATTGTCATATTGCGATATATTGCAATAATTCAAGAGATATTGCAATACATATTGTGATATACTGACTGGAAGGTTTCTGCCCAAGTGTGTACATCATAAATTCATAATAGCTCTCTGTGTGTGACATTGTCTCCTTAGTTGCTGTTACGCCATACTTTCAGGCTCCCCGTCCCCATTGTGTATGGCTGTATGCCAATGGTTTACAGATAAATGAAATGATATAGAGCCTTAATGTAGAATGTTTAACTGAAGTACTGTATAGCAAGTTTTGCGAACATAATGATAAATTTAATAGTATAACATGATTTTCATTATCAGCGTTGTTTTCTTCAACAGAATGCACTTCAAAGCAGTATGTAATTATTGTTACTGTATGTCAGTGATTCATTCAGATTCAACTCCAATATAACGTTGTGTTAACATGAGCTATTGCAAAATGATAACGAAAACATGATTTAGGTGAACTACTTAAGCTTAAAATATAATGTGACATCCCATATATTAGTAAGATTCTTGACTAGAATGTCATTATACAGTCCTACAAAATTTATAAGACTTTGGCCTTTATGATAAATTGATAACATATGGCCTATTATATAACAAACAAAATGGTCACTCAGAGCCAGAGGTTCTACTAATAAGTCCAAATAAAAGATTGGTCAAATCTTTTAAAGGCATTTAGAAGTGTAATTCATAAGAAAAGCAAGATTTATGGATGTCACCTTCTTTATTGTGAATAACACGAAGTTTGAAGTGTATGTCGTTCATGACTCGATGAAGGAGCAAGCATACACTCCAAAACGTCGTGTTATTCACAACAAGAAATTGACATCCATAAATCTTTCATGCTTTCTTAAAAGATTGGTCCATTTGAGGCCACTTAATTCCTCCAAAACGTCACATATGAAACCATTCAAATCCACAAAACTTAAAGCAATAATTTTGGTAAATTATTTGGCACTTCTGGAGCCACTTATAAAGACACTTCCACTTGTAAAATGTTACATGAAACCAAAAGAAATAAATATATATTTGGTACTTTTAGAGCACATTTTGTTGCTATGGCAATCAAGGGCAGATAATTCTGCATGACCCAATATATTGCAGAATCTGAACCATATCGCGATAATCGTATCGTGAGATAATGTACTGGATATATACCGGTTTACCGGTAATATTGCACAGCCCTAACACTTGTCATTCGTATGTTATTGCTTTCCATAAATGACTAACTTGTATTTCACTGATGACAAGACCAATATTTTGCATTCTGGTTGTGTCAATATGTATTCTGTTATGTAATAAATGGACCACATGCACTACTGGCATTTTTCATTAGTTTCATTGGCTGTAACTGGAATGTCAAGTCCATACTTGAATATTTACAGATTGCTTTCTAATAGCTGCAGTGGATGTTGGGCAGCCTAGTAAGTGGTTAAAGCATTTGCTTGTCACGCCAAAGATCCGGTTCGATTCCCTCATGGGTACAATGTGTGAAGATTATTTCTGGTGTCCCCACTGTGATATTGCTGGAATATTGCTAAAAGCGGTGCAAAACTTAACTCACTCACTTTAGTGATACTGTATCTTGATGATTGTGAATGTTTTTATTTATTAAGCTCAAAAGTAAATTTTAGTGCTTTAAAATTTAGAGCAAAGATTAATTAAAATTGAATATTGAATTTTGATATCATCACAGTCATGAGTGAGGGTTTGCTGCTAATTTAAATCCTGATCCGGGTTCGATTCCCCTCATGGGTACAATGTGTGAAACCCATTTCTGGTGTCCCCTGCCATGATATGGCTGGAATATTGCTAAAAGTTGGCGTAAAACTAAACTCACTCACTCAAATAGATGCATTTTTTCTGAGTTACGTTAAGCCATTATTTTTGTGAATGAATCATATTTTTTTGCAGGCATGTGATGGAACATCTTGAGAATGTTATTGAAACCAAACCCAAAGACCAGATGACTGAAGAAGAACTCGAGTTCCATTACTTTAAGATGCACGACTACGATAACAATAACAAGTTGGATGGAGTAGAGATCGGCAAGGCCCTTACACACTACCATGCAGGTATGTTTTACATATAGATTTAGATGTTACGTGTTGACTTGTGTTTATGAAGCTCCATCAGCTTGACCGGTTTTGTAGTGCTGTAACAGAGAAATTAAACTCAATGCAGATTACAACATGTGTTCATATGAGAAGGATGTGAATTTGATCCATTGTGTTCGTACAAAACCTGGGAAATACAAGCCAAATCTTATGGATAACCACTTTTTGATGAAGAAGCCCAGAAACGTTGTGAAAATTAAATCAAGAAGTTGTTATCCATAAGATTTGTCTTGTATTACTACACCAAGTTCTAAATGCCTTTGAGGAAAACCTGGGAAACGTGACAAAAGGCACTGTTGACTTATAGATTTCAACTTCAGTGTTGTCAGTGCAACATTCATACATACATACTAACATTTGTATAGCAACATTATTACACAGACACTTGTGTTTGTGTGTTTTTGCTTGCATGGAAGATACTGTGAAACTGAAATATAAAAGTTAACCCTGTCTTTATTAGTCTAAGCTTCAAATTGCAACCTTCATATCTTGGAATAGATACACATAGTTGACAATAGTCCTTGCAAAATATCATAGTAAGAAACAAAATGAATGTTTAGCTGTTGGAGCTTCTGGGGCACATCAAAATTATATGCTATTTACTAAATAAGCATTCTCTGTGCATTTTAAGTTTAGTACATAACCATACATTATTTAAAGTCTGATGGTGAGGACTAATAGAATATTAGAGTTATCTCCCTTGTACTGTTGAGGAATAAACTTCAATGTAAACAACCTCTGTGAAGTTTGTATTATTGCTTCAGTTTATATATGTGTGCATGGAGTGTATTTCATTGATTTTTGTTTCTACCTGGTGACTATAACACATGTTGTTACTCTGTGTTCATCAGTCTGCATGTTTGTTAGAAGTGTGTATGTATATTTGTGGCAAACTTGGTAGAGGCAAATAACTCTAAATCCCAATGTGGTAAATGGTTCGTGTGTATCCTGCCTGTTGTACATGGTGATGGGTATGTTCTAACTGGATCTGTTGTGTTGTAATGGTGTATTGTACCAGTGTATACAGAAAGTTACAAATATTTGTATTCCACAAATTTATTGTCCTTCCAAAAACAATAAAAAATGACATGCATTGTTTAACTCATGGCAGTATGTGAAACAGAAAAATGAAAATACAACAACTTTTCATCTTAGCTTTAGGAGACGTTGGTTGCCAAGTGGGTACCGGTAGTTTATTTGCCTGTACATCGGAACAGCTGGGTTTGAATTCAGTTGTTGGTCAAATGTGTGAAACCTGTTCTAAGTATTCATAAGTGAGATATGGCTACAAACCTCTGACTGACATGTTTAAATTAATCTTAACATTTAAGTACATTGACTTAAAGTGACTTGTCTAAACTGATTATGCTGGTGTTCAATACTGAAGAAGAAAACTTTCTCATTAGTGATTGAAGCTGGTGTAAAATCTCCATCTGCGTCTAAGGGGAGGAGCGGTAAATAAGTCAAGGGTATATTAACATACCGACTGACTGTAACCATAGTAACAGTAATCTGTCATATCATCCATGTCCAGCTTTAAAAAACTTCCATTAAATATTTCAGATTAATTAAACAATAGTTAATGTCAGCAAAATTATCAACACCTTTCTGTGTTATATTCATAAATCAATTAAGAAATTATTTTTCTAAACCCTATGTTTATATTTTCCATTTGTTTGTAATGTTTGGTAATTTTGTTATTTTTTGTTAAGGCATGTTGTTGAAACCCAATCAGTGCTAATGGTGAGAGTGTCTTCTCATCCCATCTAGGGCCAGGTGGGGACTCCCGGTCAGAACATGTCCTTAGCAGGCTATGCTGTTGAAGGGGCTACTCACTGGACTGAGTGGTCAGCTTGGTGACTTGATTGACTGTGTGCAGTCGTACCCAGAGAGCATGGGACTTTGTTCATGATATCAATCTCTGAATTATCTGATCCAGGCCAGATTTTTGTATGGAATATTGCTGCATGCATTGTTAGACAACAAGACACGAGCATGATGAAATAATCAAATGATTATGTCTGAGAGGGGGATTGTCTCCTCAATGTGATGTTGGAAACAATTGTTCTAGGGGATTCTGGTTTAGGTTGTCAGCGACTTATGCTAGATGCATCGATCACATGGTCAGGATTGGCGACTTGATAGTGTGTCATGATATCCTGACAGAGTGGATTGATGCTCATGATATCTATCACTGGATTGTCAGGTCCAGACTTTGTTGCGACTAATAGGATCGAGTGGTCAGGCTCGTTGACAAATGTCATCAGTTCCCAATTGCGCAGATCGATGCTCATGCTGTTGATCACTGGATCATCTGGTACAGACTCGATTATTTACAGATCAGTGTCATAAAGCTGGAATATTTCTGAGTGTGGCATAAAACTAAACTCTCTCACTCCCCGACTTTGTTACAGGATAATGACATATAGCTGTAGTGCACCATGACACAAGGAACAAACAAGAGGTATCAATCTTCTTACTCATATTTACTCAGGGTTTGTCAGAAGTTCTCTGCTCCATTTCAGATCAGAAACAAAAGAGAGATTCATCTTATTTTGGGAAACAATCACACAATGAAGGTAGTTGGCAAAGTATGCAAATATTTGGTCTGATTCTGATGAAGACTTTCTTCTAAAATTTGGATCGCCATCAGCATGTTCAAGATTTCTGTATTGTCTGAACCATTGTTTCACATGTATACCCTTTTTATCTGAATGAACCTGCATGTTTGCTCTCACTATCAACAGGCTTGTCTCAACTACAATATTATCTTTGTAATACAAATTGTGTATTTGAGGTATGTGAAAGATACATGAGCATTAGACTGTACTAAACATGCTAAAAGACAGGGAAAACTTGGTAAAAGTTAAAATAAGGTTTGTTATTGAAATTACCATTTCAAGAAGAATAATTTTTATTGAAAATTGTTTGTAACTTCAATTTTGTATTTTTTTATCTTTCATCAAATTGCACATCAGAAGAGACTGGTATTATTGAAGTCAATTTATTGGACTAAACAAGGTCCCGTACACTGCATTGGCAAAATTCTACCAGACAAATTTTGTGTAATTTCAACCTTATGTTAAGAAATTAAATAGATAAACAATGGTACACTGCAAATGCAGGTAATAAAAGGATCATATTTCAGACAAATTTAAAACATTTTTTGTTTAGCCTGAGTTTGCCTTTATTTTTGACAATTTTCAAAATATCTTTGGAAAATACTATTAAAAAAAAATATGTGCAATGGGCAAGTATAGTTAAACAGCATTCCAGTACATTGTTTCAAAGCCATTTTGAAATGAACCAGTATATTTGTAATACTGCACACCAACTAACATTATCCCAAAATAGATGAAAAAATTATCAATAGAAAATGTGGTTATTAATGTTTGCTATGATACATTCCCCAACCTCTGAATCATTGATTGATTCATTATGAGCTATGTCTCCATGTTGATAGGTTTGTATCAGTAGCCTCCCTTGATGCATCATTACTCATCAGTGTGAGTGAGGCATATGTTACAGAAGATCTGTGTATGTGATTCCTTTTGCGATACAGGGCGATGGGGTAGCCTAGTGTTTAAGGAGTTCTCTTGTCATGCCGTAGACCCAGGTTCGATTCCCAGCGTGGGTACAATGTGTGAACTCAATTTCTAGTGTCCCCCACTGTGATATTGCTGGAATATTGCTAAAAGCGGTGCAAAACATAACTCACTCACTTTAGTGATACTGTATCTTGATGATTGTGAATGTTTTTGGTTATTAATCTCAAAAGTAATTTTTAGTGCTTTAAAATTTAGAGCAAAATTTTATTAAAATTGAATATTGAATTTTGATATCATCACAGTCATGAGTTGAGTCTTTGCTGCTAATTTAAATCCTGATGCCCTCCTTTGCTGGTGGGGAGCCTAATAGCCTAAATCCTGATGACCCTCCTTTGGGGTACAATGTGTGAAGCCCATTTCTGGTTCCCCCATGGTTAATATTGCTAAAAGCAGTGTAAAACTAAACTTAGTCAGTCAGTCCTTCGCTGGGGGACATCAACTGTGAGGATTCTCAGAAGAAAAGGTACCTGGTACTTGTCATGAGAATCAACAGATGATATGAGGGTGGCTACCATATCTTGAACTACTTCTGTGGTGCTGTGACTACACTGTCTACCCAGAGAGTGTAGGTTTATGGTTCAGTCAGTTGGCTGAGTTTGAAAGACATTAAAAGATGGTATTACCCTGCTGGCATTCTGCATTGATTGGTTAAAACAAGGACAGTTGCCAGTATACTGTGTCTGAGGCAGGAGGCATGGTATATAGGTGAGCTAGCAGTATAAAGCTAGCATAAATCTGGACTACCACAAGAAGCCTCACACATACAGAAAGTGGTCAGAAGTGAAGATTTGATATATTTGGGATTACACTTCTTTTGTAAGGTGGGGCAGTGGGGTAGCCTAGTGGTTAAAGCGTTGGCTCATCACACCGAAGATCCGGGTTCGAATCCCCACATGGGTACAATGTGTGAAGCCCATTTCTGGTGTCCCCAGCCGTGATGTTGCTGGAATATTGCTAAAAGCGGCGTAAAACCAAATTCAATCAGTCAGTCTTTTGTAAGGTACAGATTTTTGTACTTTTGTGACACTTCCTTGTTTGTAGAAGATGCTGTGGCAGAATGGGTTAGATCGTTCACTTTGCATGCTGGTGATTAGCGTTTTTCTGAGAGCGTGTCACGACACAACCTGCAAAAGTACTAGAATCGTTTCTTTACTGAGAAAGTATAAACCCAAATATTACCTCTTATTACCAGAAGTATTACAGATTGTGCCCTAGAACAGCGTTACCTCACTCACTGGGATATCGTTGAATTATTACGTTCAGGGTCATACAGAACCCCTAAAAGATATATGACTTTAAGAACAATTAGTATTGACCAAATGACAACATATCAATGACATGTTTAGGTATCAATTATTTTTATCCAACATAGAGAGATCATATTGGGCAGTAATCAGCATTACATCAGTGAGACATCTTTCAGTTCAAGCATCATGAAAAATTAGGTTCTGAACATTTCCTCAGGAACATCTGAAACAACTGAGTCATCAAAATTAGAAGTTTGAAAAAAATTCACACAGATTTAAAAAAAAAGAACTTTTGGGAAGTATGAGCTTCAGAGATGAGACTGTTATGCATGAGACAATGCTTACAATATGCAATGGTACTACATGTAATTAATACAGAACTGCAGCTTGAAAACATTTTCACACCTTGTTTTCATCTGTCCGTTCATCCTCAGTAGGTTTGTAGAAGATAGGGGAATGTTATCTATCACTGTCTGAAGTTTTTTGGCTTCATGTACAATGATATACAAATGAGATACAGTGATTTAACGTTGTTTCTTTGACTTACTCTAATGATAGCTGTCTTTTATGTATAAATGAATCATTTTGTGTTAATCAGTATGCTATGGAATTATCTTGCAAAGATAATTTTGTGTATATTTAAACATTTAAAGTTTTTATGTCCATAACTATATATTTTTAAATTTTATTGATAAAGTGTTTTATCATGGAATTTTTTTTCTTGAATTTTCGGTGCATCAATCAAAGTATCAGATCAAATTACTGCAGTTCTAAATTCACTTTGAGTAAGAAATCATAAGAAAACATGACATGTATAATTAATTATAACAACTTTTGTCTTAACCTCATAACCAACCTGCTGTCAGCTTATTATTTGTCAGCCTTCTTTGTGTAAGGTGTTTTTATTTATTTTTCAAAGGAAACCTACAGTTTAAACAGAAGGACTGACTCAGTGTCTTGTCCGACAGTACCATCACCGTGAGGCTGTTGAAAATGAAAGCAACAGAGGTTGTCAATAGGTCGTCAATATCTAGTCAGTAGCCTAGGGCCATAGGGATCTTAAGCATACTAGCTGTAACTAATGACAGTGTCACTTTCAATTTAGGGGACTGTTTGAAGGCACCAGACACTGTGACATTGAGGTTTTAATACCTGTAGGTATTTTCAGATATTCAAGGCTTAACTATATAAATGTATGTCTGCAGTTTGTCTCAACGTCAAATAATATTAATTGTTACTGATTTTCAATAAGAATGTCATGTTGTACTTTGAAATGAGGTGATAACACCTCCTTGATTGTGAAGTTTATGAAAATATGTTATATCAAACCTTTGTAATCATCTTGTTATTTTATTGCTTATACCATGTGAACCTAGAACCTGGAAATATTCTTTTGTTTGTGGTTCATATGTAGAAAATATAATATTGGTACATTTTCTCTAAAACTTAAAATGTACTAGTATTCATTGTTAGATGTATTAAAAATAGTAAGTTTGAAAGCAAAGGTTTTGTGAAATCTGTTGCTATCAAGTATAATCATGATAGTTTGGGCTAATTTGCATTAAAAATTTTATAGAGTTAGCAGTATGTAAAGCCAAAGTCCTACTACTTAAGGAAGAATTGCAAGCACGTGTCATAGCATTGTTCATTCAATAATTGGGAGTCGGTAGCTCTGATGAAATCCTTCACATAGTGTGTTTACGGAGATTTAGCACACATCATTATTGTCAACAAATGAAAGCTTCTGGTTTAGATTGTCTGCAATGTGTTCAGCATCAAAAGAAACAATATGACTTGGTTGGGATGTATGCCATGATGGAGTAGGCTCTGAACCTCATGCTTGTTGTAAGATGTGTGTCTTAATGTTCACCCCAAAGGGCAAAGCATATCTCATACACTGAACCATTGTTTAGGTGCAGTCAATTGTCTACAGCCTATGCCTGATAGTGTGTAAATCTATTGGACTATATCCTGGAATTTTTTACAGTAAATTATGCTCTGAGAATATGGGAGTAAATTAGCCAAACTTACTTCACCGAGAGTAAAGTTACTAATCTACTGGACCAGATCCTGCAATTATTTCCAGTATATTATACTCTTAGCATATGGACGAAAATACTTGACCGAGAGTAAAGTTAGTAGACTCTGGCTTTGCTCAAGCAACTAAAGTCACAGAATGTATTTACATATCACTATGGTTTGGAGTAGATTATATTATTGCTGAGTAAATTTAGAACACCAATTATTATGATTATGATGATAATGAACATAAATTCTTCCCCTTTTTTCCCCTTTCACCCCATTTGACAACATAATCAAGTACCAGCAATCAAAACAAAAGAAACATCAAGTGTGTAAGATGTAATAAGAATATTACATGATGTTTTTGTTCAGCACTTATCCTCAACCAAATCCCATGTCAGGGATGTTTGTTTAGCCCTAATTGAAATGATCCGTTAATTCCCTTCCTCTTGATCCCGTCTCTGACAGCGATAATAGCCCCTCCCGGAGCCGTGCTCCTTAGGGACCATTGGCCACGCCCCACTAGTTAGACAACCGGGTTACTAAATTTTAATTACTGTCGCTGTGAAATCTGGTTTTGTTGGCAGCGGAGCATAATGTCCCATGAGTTGAGAGCCGTGCACTTGTTCCGCTCCACGAAGTCATATGTGGAAGGGAAGAGGATTAGTTGATGCAAATGTTAACTTTCAATTTATCAAAATA